TGTTAGGTATAACTTTTATTTCTCGTCTTATTTATATCGAGTAACAGAATGATGATTAATAATAATAGTGTTGCATTTATAATGCACCAAACTTTTGCAGTAAAATATAAACTTAAATCCTCTGAAACCGTACCGTATTATAAATATATCCCAGAAACGATTCTATAGTCGTACTCATAAGTTGAACTTTGATAGGGCCAGATTCACAGGCAAAACAATACACTACAATAGACGATATAAAACGCATATAGATAAAGTCAGTAAAACATTTAATATATATGGCGATATGCACTATGTGTGCCCAACACTCAAACTTACAAGAAACATCTCATAAAATCATGAAATACATTAAAAATGAAATAAACGTATGTGGACCCTTAACAAAGTAATAGTCCCTATCATTTTGTCCAACACCGGAATAATCCTAAAACAGATACACGAATCTATCCAATTGTATCATACCGAAATCCATTTTTATAATCCTTCAGCAGTAATATTAAATACAGAATAACCTGCAAATTTACCCATAAAAAACTGTTTTCACTTGTCTTAGGTCCGTGTACAGTGGTACCAGGATCATGAATTATCCTGAATTAAAGTAAACAGTTACCAAACATAATATTAAAGCCACTTTAATTCCTTACTATTCAAAATGAAATGGGTGTAAGTTTTGTTATTATACACTTACTCTTTTTTTTATTGTTATTTCCATTCGTATACTGCAGATCACACATTCAGTCCCCTTTCGGGTAAGGGCCTCCTGCTGAACTTTCCATTTGGAGCTGTTCTTTGCTTCCTCCAACCATTTCTTCCTAGAAAAATTTATGATGTCGTTAGCCGAGCTTTTGTGGTCTTCCTACGTTTCTTTTTCCTTAAAGTCTCCTCCATTGGGCGGCTTGGGTGGGCCATCTTTGACTGTACATTTTGCAACATGGCCTGCCTATTTCCTTAATACAATAAAAATAAAAATACCAGAAATGTTTGTTAAGCACAAAAAGAAATAAAATATGGAAAAAATTATAGAGATGGGCACTTAACATTTTGAACTAGCCCAGAATTCTTAGTAGTACTATCACCGCTATTATAGATTTTCTTGACAGTTAACTTCCGAGAATATGACGCGAACAATTTAATGGCCTCTAATTGCGGCAATCAACAGCAATTGTGCGAGATGAAAGAGTGGCGATAACAATTAATTACTTTGAACTACAGCGACCCAAGTAAGTCTTCGAGAATTTGCGAACTACCTAACTGTGGGAAGAAATAATGAGTATACTCCGCTCTCCCTCCGACAACGCACCCCCTAAAATAGGTGTCCACGCCACGATGCCTGCCCTTTTGAGGCTTCCCGTATTCTAAAACAAAAAAAAAAAAGAGCCGCCACGATTGCGCTGCTTCGGCTTGAAGCTCGCGCAATTCCTCATCGGCGTCTTAGCAGCGATATCTTGCCGACGAATTTATTTTTTACTTTTAATTTATTAATTTATATGGGAAAACCCTATCAGATAATGAGTTCAAGCTTATTGTTCATCCATCATTTAACATTATCTTTTAAATATTGTGGAAGTATGGACGTCACAATCCATTGATAAATTAATTATCATTTCAGGGTATTAATTATATTTCTTAATTGTTATTTTTCGATTTCGAGAACAAAAATAACAGCAAATCAGTCAGGATACCAGCCCTGCGATTCTGTAACTCACTTTTCGAACTCATAAACAATAAACTACAAGCTCCCACCTTTTCAGAATGCCAAATCATAAAATGACTGCTTCACGACTGATTTGAGAGCGACCGCCGATGCGAAAACCGCTGTGTGAGTTCGACAAGTGAGTGACAGAATCGCAGGGCAGAGGTAATAGCGTCGAAGGCTTCGAAGGCGTCGAAGGCGAACACTTTAAGAAGTTGTCATTGAAGCATCGTAGAAAATTTATTGATTGATATGTTTGTTTTAATTTGCGTTTAAGATATTTAAGAATCAGGTTGATTGCCCCAACCTATTAAATTAAATTAAATTTAAATTTCGTGTACCCTCTGGATACCCCAGGCATCATCCCATTAATTGTCCCTTTCAGAAAAAACCGTTTGGCCTAAGCTCATCGATATCCAGCTACACGCTTTGAAATCAATTTTCTCGTAAAATCAAATCTCTCTTCGTGGTTGTTTTTTTTATCATACGAGCCTACGGGACTCCTAAAAAGGGCAGTCATCGCAGCCCATTGACTCCCATTTTTTTTGTTTGTTTTGAATAATTGGAGGCCTCAGAGAAGACCCCACCCCCTGGGAGTCGATTTCACATTTCACTAGTTCGCAAAAGAAAATGCCTTGTGAAACGCTGTGGAATACTTCAAGCCAGCCATCAAGGTGATGTTGATGAAATTTTGAATTGATACGGCTCGTACGGTGTTGAAACGAGGCAGGAGGGATCAACCCAAACCATTCTTCAGAACACTTACCGTAGTACACTTTGTAGAAAAGGCAAAGAGATCCAAAGTCTCTGCGAGTGAGAATCAAGCCGATCTGTAGTACGTTGGAGATTGATAATTCGACAAGCTGAACCAAACTTTTTAAATCTGTTTTAATTTTCTATTTATTAATTTTTTAAAAGTTAAAAAAAAAGTTTTTGGATTACAGTGTAAACTCCATGTAAACAGATTTCTGAATCTGTTTCATGATCATGTGTCAATCTAACAAACAAATCGGTTATCTGGTTCCAGAGATAACTTAAAAACTCACCTTTCCTCAGTTATTACATAAGTTAAAAAGTTCCATATTGAGGCCCGAATATTTGGTTCGCTTTGTTTAATTAAAATCACTGTTTGGCAGCCGGCACAAAGGTTGATTGGAAAACTGCAATCTCGTATCATTTTGCACATTAAACTGAACGGGGCTACGGATTTTGCATATTTTATACTTTTTCAATACATTCACGTCGATCCTATTTGGATTGTCGGTCGTGATTTTAACAAAATATATGAACTGGTATTCCTCTAGGAGAACACCACTATGTGGAACCAGCCACTGAAGTATTTCCGAACCCATTCGAATTAGGGTCCTTCAAGAAAAGAGCGTATCAATTCTTGAAATGCCGGCAACGCACTTGCGAGCATTCTAGCAATGTGAGTGTCCATGGGCGGCGGTACTTAAGACCAGATGAGCCTCCTGCCCGTTTGCCTTCTGTTACATTAAAAAAATCTGACCAAAGGTTATGATGATATTACAGAATATTTTATCCGCCTCAAATAACTTTCGAAACCAATAATAGTTTCGTTTAAATCCCCAAATAATTATATATTAATGTAATATTAAGTGAAAAGTTTTGTTTCCGTTTGAAATAAAAATCGGTCCATTTAGTACAAGACACTTCCATTAAACGCAATGCGTATAATTATAATGAATATACCTTTTAGGCAGATTTTCTATTATATATACTTTGATAGTAAGGGCTAAGAATTTTTAGATACGACTTTGTATTTTGTTTCTTCGCTACTCTGTCACGGCCAACGGTTCATCCAGTTTTGAATATCGTGTAATAGAAAAATACCTATCAAATACAGATTTTGTATCTTGAATATAAAGCTGTATTTTAATAATGCATTCATTAATAATTAGTATATAATATGTTTATTTCTTTATTGATCAGTCTTTGTACGAGGCATTTTTAGGTCTAAGATATTTCATAAAAAAATCAATATTAATTGCATTATAATACCCAGGATTCGAACGCCAAAAAATCAAAAAGTCACTCATTTAACGGTTAAAGCGTTATTAGGTAAAAGTAATGATAAAAATATTTGACTGGCAAACATTTCAATTAAACAAACATGTTCAGAATAATTTCCATAAAATTAAGCATTTGTTTTTATTAGTGAAATGTTTCAAATCCGTCTATGATCAAACAGTCCATTTGGTTGTTAGTTCTATGATAGTAATGCTGAATAAATTTATTTAGCTTTTGATATTCCATCATGGAGACTGTACCTTTATTTATGTACCTCTTACTTTCTCATCATTACTCAGGAATAAATTTACAAAACAGCCACAGTAACGTCAATGTGCTTTTATCACAATGTGTTGTGGCAATAGCTAACAGAGATTTAAATTATAAACCCACGATTTTAATAAACGATACAGTAAAAACACAATCTAATAATGATTTGATTAAAACGTTAGTAACAGAAGTACATATGAGTGGAGTACCTAGTACAATAATTAACAGAGACATTTGGTTCAATAATACTGTGGTAAATGGTGACATACTATTAGTATTCATAGTGAACGATTGTTTAGACCTTACAAATGTGCATTTTAATCGTAAAGAAATTAAGTATTTAATAATTTTTCAAGATCAAATTAACTGTCATCAATTCGATACGTTTAAAGAGATGATTTCTCATAATGTGGTAATAGCTATGAAATCTAATTCTTCAGACGATTTTACTTTATATTCTGCAATATTTGACATCGATGAATATACTTGTGATATAATTGATGAAGTAAGATTTGAAGAGGTCAATATGTGCATTAATGGATCGCTGAGTAGAAAAAATAAGGTATTTGCTGAAAGATCGGTCATAAATTTGAAGAAATGTTCCTTAAATGTTGGGATAGGAGAGTTATATCCCCCCAAGGTCCAAGCCTTGACGTGGCGGGGGGGCTCTAGTACTTGGAGTGCAAGCCAGCACTTTAGGGAAGCCGATTGGACCGATGGGAAGGTTCTCGGTAGGCTTCTTTAAATAGAAGAAACTTGATGAACAACAGGCGCGTGAAGCACGTAGAAGTAGTGTTCTTTGAGGGAAGGTGTGCGTCATCTATTTTCGCACGTGGGATGGCCGGCTTGCAAAGCCAGCGTTTTTGGTGCATCATGTTATCTGGGGTGTAAGCCAGCACCTTGGGGAAATGTATGGACCGAACTTTTGTAGTAGCCTTTAAAGGCAAGAGGTGCGTTTTATTGCGTACGTGGGATGGCCAGCTCGTATAACTGGCGTTTGTGAATATCAAGAGCATTGCTCTTGGCACACTGTATTTGAAACTTGTGGAGTTGCCAGACTTCCATAGATCACGACCCCAGTTGGCGAATAGGGGTCCTCGCACTCGCCCGCGGGGGTACCGGTTGGACTTCCGACATCCAACTGGCGTGGACCAAAACTGGTGGGCTCAGGGCGTGCCCCCGGTTCAATTTTTGAATCGGTAACGACCGGTGTTGAGCGCATATTTTTGCGTTGAGTTGGTGAAGAGCTTGCGTGTCTTTTTACATTTGTAATGCTCAGTAGCTTCTGCATATTGTAGATGACCTTCTAGGTCAATGGCGCGATGGATCTGGTGACTGCGATAAGCAGTTTCTGGGTGGGTTTCGACTCTCCGTCGGGCAACCTGTTACCTCCTGCGTGTGTCGTTGTCATGTCTAGCGGCATGCTTGTGGCCAGGGGGGCTTGCCTTTATTGGCCGGCCCTGAGAGAAAGGAAAATCTCAATAAAAAACCCTTAAATTCCCGACATTGGGGCGCCTTGTAGGTATTGCGCGGTGTCGGTTACCTGTATTTACAGGTGGCTGGTGAGTAAAGTCAGTCGCTAGCGGCCATCCCTCGGATACCACCCGTCCTCCGAGTGTTATAAGGGTTACCTAGGTGCAGGGGGCACCACCTGGGTGGACTGTGTATTTCCCCCATGGAAAATAATTTATGAAATGACAACAATAAATAATCTAATAAACAAAAAAACCAAATCAAAAGAAGATGTTAGTGTGGAGATGCCGTGTGATGCGGCTGAGCAGGAGGCTGGAGTGGCAACGGCGGGCGATCAGTTTGTTTTGCCAGCGCCCCCCAGTGATATTATGTTGGAGTGCCCTGAGATGTCGGATTCTTCCACATACTCAGGTGTTGAAGCAAGGGAGTCTTTGACAGTTTCATCGCGGTTTTGGAGCTCCCGGAAGCGTTTCAGAGAAGTCGCTGACACTGATTCAGATATCGCAAGAGAGGCGACTTCAAAGATAACGCGGCGTAAAGGCAGAGGTCGGCCATCCACTAAGGGCGAGAATGTGGATCCGGTTCCTGCTAATAAATCTGCCAAGTTGAAAGAAACTAGAGCTGAGAAAAAGGCTCGCGAGGAAGAAGAGCTTTTGGCCTTGGAAATTAAAGCTCGAGAAACACAATGTACTCTATCTTCTGTCTTGGTGTCGGAACAGGGCGAGGATATGTCATTGGATTTAGTAAAGAGGATTGAGGCTAGCCTGGGAGTTGTTGAAAAGGTCGCCACAAAATCGTCCAATATCAAAGGACAATGGGTCCATATGGCTAAAAATGCCATTGCGGACATGCGGAAGGATATTGGGGTGCTTGCTAAACGTTCAGTTTCTGAGGAAACTCGATCTCTGCGTGAAGACAACGAGCGCCTCAAAAAGCAAATTGAGATACTCCAGCAGGATATGACGGATCTTCGGAAACATGTTGGAGTTAATTCAAAGGAGCCATCGCTCACTCCTTCTCTCCTCGAGGAGTTTGAGGCAAATCTGATGCGCCGTATCGGGGATAGATTAAATGCACGGTTTGAGAGTCTAGAGCCTAGGCTTAATCCTGCACCTGTATTAAGGCCTTCTCTAGCCGCGGACCGACGCAAAGTCGTTGGGCCCCCTAGATTTGAGTCAGGTCAATCCCAGACAGCTAATAGACAGGTGAATAGTAGAAGCTTGGTGCAAGCAGCATCTACTGCTTTGCCCCAAGGACCATCCTCTATTTCAAAAAAGAAGAAAAATAAAAGAATTGCAGGAGAGGAAATATTGGCCATTGAAAAGGTATCTGCTATTACTCAGCCCTCGCCTCTGCAATCGGCTTCCAACCTTTCTAAGGAGCATTGGTTGATTGTTGGGAAAGGAAAGAAAAGGAAAAGGAAGAAAAGGGGAAGGTCAGGTGCTGTGTTAGCTCAACCAACTGTAACAGGTTTTCAGGCACCAGTTAAAAAGCCAAGACTGCGTACTCCCCGAACAGCTGCTGTTGTTGTAACTGTTCCGGCGGAAGTTCAGAAAAAAGGCGTAACATATGCGGAGGCTATTAAAGAAGCGAAAGGCCAGATTAGGCTAGAAGAGTTGGGAATTGAAGCAGTTAGGTTTAGACGTGCCGCAACTGGTGCTGCCATTATACAAGTCACTGGTGAAGGTGGAGGAGATAAAGCAGATGTTCTGGCTAAAAAATTAAGGGAGCTGTATGGTACGAAGGGCATCCTTGTATCGAGGCCTGTTAAATCTGTTGAGGTAAGAGTATCAGGCTTAGACGATTCTGTTACTGCTGACGAAGTAAAATTCGCTGTGTGTAAAAAAGGGGGAGTGTTCATCCGATCATGTTAGAGTTGGTGAAGTTCGTCAGGATAAGACAGGTCTCTTTGCGGTGTGGGTGAAATGCCCGGTGGAAGCTGCGAAGAAATTGTCTGAAGGTCGTCTGCTTGTAGGCTGGACTTCAGCTAGGGTGACGGTGCTGCAACAACGAGAACTTAGGTGCTTCCGATGTTTGCAAGCTGGTCATGTTGCAGCTCGTTGTACGGCGGAAATAGACCGTAGTAAGTCTTGTTACCGGTGTGGCCAGCCAGGCCATCGTGCTTCTGTTTGTTCATCCAAACCGCAATGTCCTCTGTGTATTGCGGCAGGTAAAACAGCTGATCATCGACTGGGGGAAAGCTTGTACGGCTCCCAGTCAAAAGATGCCGAGAAGATTCAACACGAAAGTTTCAGTAGAACCAACCTTGAGCGGTGACATAATGGAGACCCAAGAAATTGTTATAAGTTAGTATGGATCTACGCTTTATTCAATCTAACCTGAACCACTGTGCAAGTGCTCAAGACCTTTTAATTCAGAGTTTGACACAGTGGATCGTTAATATAGGGATTGTTTCAGAACCATACATGGTTCCAGATAAAAACAACTGGGTCGGTGACCGTGATGGTCTTGTTGCGGTTTTTATAAATGATGTCAACTTGCTGTCAGTTGCTTCAACAATGCAGGGTAGAGGTTGCGTTGCTTTAAAAATTGGCAGAATTGCAGTTATTGGTGTTTATTTTTCCCCAAATAAAACGCTTGCTGAATTTGAAACGTTTTTGTCCGAACTGGGCTGTCTTGTTTCATGGTGTCGACCCCTCGATCTTATAGTCGCTGGAGATTTCAATGCTAAATCTACAGTGTGGGGGTCTCCAGTATCTGATGAACGTGGTGACGCTTTGTTGGATTGGCTTGCAACTCAAAATTTAGTGTCACTGAATCGGGGTAATGTTCAGACTTGTGTGCGTATGAATGGTGGCTCTATTGTGGACGTTACCTTTTCAAGTCCTGCTCTTGCAAGTCGTGTTTATGGATGGAGGGTGTTGTCAGAAGTTGAAACTTTATCGGACCACAAGTACATTCGTTTTGATATCCTGGATTCCACTGTAAGCTTACCGGGTCCTGCTCCATCTGAGATAGGTCCTAGATGGTCCCGAAAAAATCTAGACAAAGATGCGCTTACCGAGGTATCCTTAGTTGAAGCTTGGAATCCCAAACCTTCAAATTTTACAATTGATTCTGAGGTAGAATGGTTTAGGGACTCACTGACTCGTATCAGTAACGTTGCTATGCCCCGGATCGGTCCCATCTCACCCAAGCAAAGCGTCTATTGGTGGTCATCTGAACTAGCCCGACTACGAGGGGAGTGTGTTAAGGCGCGTCGCCGTTACACGCGTTTTAGAAGAAGGCATCTCAGTTACCGTGATCCGGACGAAGAGGCAAGTTTATATACTTCTTATCAAGAAGCAAAAAGGGCTCTTCGGTTGGAAATAGCTGAAGCAAAGGATAGGGCATGGAAGGAGCTCCTGAACTCTTTGGATCGTGATCCTTGGGGGCGACCGTACAATATTGTCATGAGTAAACTCCGTCCCTGGAGGCCGCCGCTAACATCCACAATGGAGCCGACGTTTCTAGGGATGGTTGTTACATCGCTGTTTCCTTGTGATTCTACTCCTTTTATTAATGTTGACTTCGATCATTCAGAGGATATTCCTGAGGTGTCAGAGGGTGAGTTAGGGGCTGGTGTTTTTAAAATTCAAAACAAAAAAACCGCTCCTGGTCCAGATGGATTGCATGGAACGGTTTGGGCGCAATCTCTTAAAAATGGCTTATTTAACAGATTTCGAGATCTCCTTTCTGATCTTTTGAGGAAAGGCATATTCCCTAATAGCTGGAAAGTCGGACAATTGCTTCTTCTTAGGAAGTTCGGGAAACCGGTAGATTCACCTTCGGCCTATCGACCTATTGTTTTACTTCCTGAGGTGGGCAAACTGTTTGAGCGAATAATTGTCTCGCGCCTCGAGATGCATCTTCAGATTATTGGTCCAAATCTGTCTGATACTCAATTCGGTTTTCGGCGTGGTCGCTCTACAATTGACGCTTTAGCTAAGTTAAGGGACTTGTGCGAAGAAACTGTCTCTGGGGGTGGGGTTGTGTTGGCGGTTTCGCTAGATATTGCGAATGCGTTCAATACTATTCCCTGGAAAGCGATTATGGATGGTCTCCTTTATCATGGTGTGCCTGTGTACTTACGTCATGTAGTAGGAACTTATCTCTCTGATCGATCGATCATTTATCCAAGTCGGGAAGGTTGGAGAAGCTATCAGGTTCGATGTGGAGTTCCACAGGGGTCTGTTCTTGGGCCCCTTTTGTGGAACATTGGATTTGATGCTGTCCTTCGAGGTAGACTGATGCCAGGAGTAGGTTTAATATGTTATGCTGATGATACACTTGTGACGGCCAAGGGATGTAATTATCAGGAGGCGAGTTTGTTAGTTACTGCTGGAGTGGAAGAAGTAGTGACTCGTATAAGACAACTTGGTCTTCGAGTCGCTCTACAAAAATCAGATGTCATATGTTTCGCTAGGAGGTCACCACCTAGAGGCGCTGAGATAATAGTGGATGGTGTTCATATGGCATTAAAGTCGACGTTGAAATACCTCGGGTTGGTTATTGACGCCCGATGGACTTTCAAGGCTCATTTTGCTGCCCTGGAACCCAAGCTTGATTCAACTGCAATGGCATTGGGTCGTATAATGCCAAATATCGGTGGGCCAGGCGGGGGCTGTAGGCTCCTTTATGCTGGTGTGGTGCGTGCAAAGGCGCTTTATGGGTGTCCGATATGGGCGGATAAGTTGTCTTTTTACAACAAGGCTTTACTGAGACGGTCACAGCGTAAAGTTGCCATAAGAATTGCTAGGGCATACCGTACCGTATCCTGTGACGCGGCATGTGTCATAGCCGCCACTCCGCCTTGGCATTTGGAAGCTTTGGCTTTGGGTAAAATTTTTTGGAGAAGAGCTGAAGCCAGGAGTGGTGGTTTTGACCCACCTCTGGAGGTAGTCAAGGTCTGGAAGGAGGAGTATCGCCGCCTAATTTTGCTAGAATGGAGGGATGAGTTAAGTGAATGTCGGTTTGGTTTACAAACTGTTGATCTTATTCGTCCCTTCTTGAAACACTGGGTGGACCGACGGTGGGGATCGCTTTCCTATCGGCTCGTTCAGGTTCTCTCTGGGCATGGATGCTTTGGGAGTTACCTGCATCGAATCGTTGGAAGAGAGGCGACACCTGCTTGTCATCATTGTGACTGTAGAGAGGATACGGTGAGGCACACTATTGAGGAGTGTCCGGCTTGGGACGGCTTTCGCTCGGTCCTTGCTGATAGCATTGTTGGCAATCTGTCGCTTCCACTAATTATCCAAAGAATGGTGGAAGCTGACAATGACGGCCCTTGGAATGCCTTCAAGGATTTTTGTGAGGCCGTCATGACTGAGAAAGAGAATGCGGAGCGTCAGCGTGAAAATAATTCTGATGCTCCGCCGGTAAGAAAACGACGACCGGGGCAGCGACGCCGTGCTTTCGCACGTCTGCCCTAAGTTAAGATGCTGATGATTTGTTCGTGGGAGGAGTCACGTTGATATTGTGGCATTCGCGTTTGGCGGGGGTAAGGATAGGGCTCAGCTGTTACCTGCCTCCGCCCTTTGGCGAGCCGAAGGCATCCGTCAGGTTTTAGTGGGTAGGTGTGAAGATATTATGTCTGAGTCCCACATAATCCCTGCTGGAGTAAAATTCAGCAGGGATATGCGTAAAAGCATTTCCTGACGAAAAAAAAAAAAAAAAAAAAAAAAAAAAAAGGGTGCGTGTACTTATGTACGCGCGTAAGAAGTTATACTTCTTTGGCATTATTAAAAATAGTTTTTGATTGCATGCAAATAATTAATTACAATTAAATAATCAAAGACTGGAAAAGGAGTCATTAAAGTCAATAAAGTTCAGTATACATTTGAAAAATTAATTAAATAAATATTTATTATTATTCTCTTACATTAAACAAATAAAACACTATTTATCTTTAAAACATTTTTATTTCATTATACTATTTATTTTTAAGTGACTCTAATGTCTTCATCAGAATTTCGGTTTGTAATTTTAAATTAATCATTACTTGGTTGTGCATCTACGAGGCTTCTCCAAAACTACTTGCTTTCTGCAACAAATAAGAGAATATTAATTTAAGCTCTGTCCATGCAAAACTTAAAATTTTTTATAATTCATATTATAAATTTTTTAACACATTTATATTAATATAATTATATAAATGTGTTAATAATATAATTTGTAGCACATGCTACAGACCTGGATAGCAACTTTCTTTTATTCTATTTAGAGATAGAGATAATTTAAATATAATACCGGTGTCTTCCTTGTAGGTTTCTTTGGAGTTGTTTGGGGATTCTTGTTGTTCAGTTCGACATGATTTTCTTTAACCTTTCTTTAATCCTACAAAATAATGAAATTGTTAAGTTATGTTGTCACTGTTGTGCACACCTTTGTTTGGCTTTTTTAGTATTCAAGTTATGTCAAAACTGATTTATTACCTTGTCATTGTTGGCTTTATTAGCTTTTGGGATATCAATTGTTTCCAAAATGATTTTATTTGTAATAACCTGAAATATATAAATAACATCTATTAATTTAAGTATCATGGTGAGTGGTTCGCACTCAGGTATTAAGGTGTATTATACCCACTGTCCATTATAAGTGGGAATGGGCTCACTTCTGGCAGGACAGAGTTTCGGTACTACAAGTGCAACATGGATGTTTTGAGGTATTACAATATCTCTAACTACCCTGTAGGGGAATAAAGTAATGTTGTAAGCATATGCCTATGCTTGAAAGGTTGAACCTTGAACATCACCATACATCATATTTATAATTAACATTCCTACCTCGACACCATCACAATCAAATTCATTGAAATCTACTTCAAACCATTGTGTCTCGAGAAGGTGATGGTGGCTTTGTTCCACCTCCAGTTTTTGATGTTTCACGGCGATAAGATGACAACTCTTTTTTTGTATTCAATTTAGTGCACTTCCACTGATTCATCAATTGTTTTTTGTCTCTTGTCCTTATATTTGCTAGATTAAATCTGATGTTTTGATTAAATAATGTGGTCATTTTTTTGAGATGCAGGTACTTATTAAAATGTTTACTTCTCTGTTATATCGCTCCAAGCCTTCATTTTCTCCTTATTAGTATTCGTGCTTAAATCTTTGTTCTCAATTATAGATATATAGGGTCGTAGAATATTTCTAAAAAGTTGCTGTAACAAACGCAATAAACAAAAGCAATGAATAATGGTTCATGTTTCAGTTTTAATCAACAATAATACTCGATAATACATACGGATAGTTAACCTCAATTGTATTGAAGCACTCAGGAAGGTTAGCACAGTTTTTCCACAAATATTTTGTATAATGAAAATAACTAGGTATATAATTATTAATTTTAAACAATAATTAAAACTCCTATATTTGTTTAAAAGGTAAATGTCATTGTCAGATGTCAATTGTCATGGTCATTCAAAATTCTTGTTAAGCTGCTAAGCTAGAATATGCGTGAAGTTAGCTTCACGCATATTCTATTTCTTTTACTTGTAGTTTGTCTTATTCCCATCTCGCTCGCGCACGCTATATCACACTGCCAATTTTGTGTCATAGGTGCGCGCGCAATCGTAAAATTTCACTCTCATCAATTTTTCATAACGCGCCTAAAGAAGTACAACTTCAAAAAAAAAGGAGAGTTATATCCATATATGCTATTAAGTAACAATACTCGTAAATATGATAACTTAAATAGTATTTCTGAAGCAGAAATCAGAGGATCTGACGTTGTGATTTTAAAAATATTGTCCGATTATTTAAATTCAACTATAAATTTCATTATTCTTAGAGATCAAGAAAAGCCATTTGTGGATCAAATGTCTTTGAGTTTACTTATTAATGGCAGTTTAGACATTTGTGCTGGAGGATTATACAGAATTTACGGAGACATTGTGGACTATTCAGGTGTATATATAAGGCAGGCAGTGGTATGGGCTTACAGCGTTGAAAGAGAAATAAGATCTTGGCAATTGTTCGTAACAAAAGTGAATGGACTGTATTTCTTTTTGATTTTCTACGTTATACACGTATTGATGTGGAAGATGATCTGTAGGATTGACAGTGAAATGTTTTCACTGAAGCAAACGTTGCTGTATAGTTGGGGTGCTTTAGTTGGAGCGTCGTCTTTACACGACGCCAGAACTATAAAACAGAAAATTGTAAATTGTATGTATTTAATACTTTGCTTACATTTATCAGCGTATATAAGTGTCCAGCTATATTCGTATTTAACCATACAATCTCCACCACGCCTTTATAGAACAATCGACGAACTTATGGATTCTGGTATCAAACCATACTTATTACCAAAGTCCAAATATTTTATAAAAGATCAAAAATACGAAAGATTCGCCAATACTTCTGGTGATTGCGATAGCTTCAACCATTGTCAACAAGTTATTATAGAAAAGAAAGGAGCGACTATTCTTATAGAAGGATACATGCCAGGCTATCAATTTAAAACCGCAGTAAACGACGAAGCAAGAGTGTTACAATTGAAGGAAGACATCATATTTGTTTACCACGAAATGATTATGAGAAAGAATATTGTCTTCGGTCGTGCGCTGAAAAAGTTGTTGTTGCATCTGTTCGAAGCTGGTATTTGTCAGAAATCATACGAAGAGGCGGTTGGTATTTTACTGACGGCGAAAGGCAAATCTACTGCAAAAAATTTAATGTCTAATAGTTACAGCTGTCAATCAGGATGCAAGATAACGTTGACGCAGTCAGCTGGCGCGTTTTATATTTGGCTTTTTGGATGTGTTTTGTCTTGTATCGCTTTTATTGTAGAGATTGTGGTCGGTAAATATAAAACTGATAAATGAAACTATCATTTATGGTAAACTCCTTTGTTTCGTAACTATGACTTATCTTTTCTTGTATTACGTGACAATACGAGAAATTTGTATAATATATAGTATATTAATGTTACCACGTGTGTCGCGTTTTTATGTCTTAGATTAAAAAGGATTGGAATATGATAAATAATGACAACTTTTGAATTGTGTAGGCATTAAATATCTTTACACATAATTTCAGAAATTACTTCTTCAATCTGAAAAAGTAAAGTTTATGATATCAACATAGTCAGAAGACGATATAACGTGCCCACATGATTAAATCCCTTCGGGTGTAGGAATGTAAGCCTAATATTTTTAAATTTTCAATATATTCAAATTGTTCATGCTTCACAACTTAAATAATACTTTAATTCCATGAAATAAAGAAATCTACGAGGAATGCTGTTTCATTTGACTATTTGTAGAGCGAGATAGAACGTGGAACGTGAAATTAAAACTCAAAGTTTGTTCGCAAGTATTCGGTTAATTAAAACTTTTACCTTTTGGCACTTGTGTAGTTAATGTATTTCACTTCGAGTTAGAACCTTTTTTGGTGTTGAGTTCTAGGAATAACGATATTTAAAAAAGAATGATCGTCTCTTGTGTTCGTTTAGAAAAAATACTAATTTCAATATTAAATCGACTAGAGTCTAGCTAACCGAAAGTAGATACTGGATTTTTTTGCAAACTTTTTATATGACAACACTAAAGTTAGTACGGTCAAAATGTCTTGATATTTTTTTATTTGAAATAAGTACATATTAGTTTTAGTTACTTTAGATAATGTTATTGTTCTTTTACAGATAGTCTTGAGATTATTAGCCAACGGTTATGAATTTAAAAAAAACAAAAATGAACGTTCATTATTAATTGAACGATATGATATAGCTGCATGGAGACATCGCTTGTTGCGCATTGCATCGAAACGTGCAGAAGGCAAGCCAATAATCTACTTAGATGAAACTTATGTCCACAAAACCTATAAGCCTAAAAATTGCAAGCATCCACTAGTAAAATAAAAATGAATGTCAAAGTATCAAAGTGAGTTGTTCCAACTTTCCTTTTTACTTTAGGGCTGCCATGCTGATATTTTTTAAATTTGCCGCGCTTTTTCCGTATCAACTTTCATCAGCCAGACTCTACAAACCCTCACAGCATTATTTACTTAGGCACATGTTAAATGTCCACTCCAGAAATGCGTTAATATCCATATCTCTAAAACTACTTAACCAATTTTTATGTAGATATCTCGATACGAAAACTTGATTTCTTGATAGATTTATATATAATAGGATAAATAGAAATTACATAGGCCTGGACAAGTTCTATAAAATAGATGCAGAGTTTGTTAACGGCCATTATTTTACTCCGAAAGATATAACTCTTATACTAACTTATCGTATTTCCCTTCAGTTTAAGTAATGTTAAAACAAATTCAGATAGTATTGTCTTTGATTAACATAACTTTTATTCATTTAATAAAACACTATTTTGACCGGATTGAAGTTATGTATTATTATAAATTTACAACTATTTAACATAATTTTAAATTTATCCGACGTTTCGCGTGCTTTACAGCGTGCGTGGTCACGGTGTCACCGTCTTGTCTTGTCTTTAGTTCTATTATAACCTACCTATCTATTAATATATATAATAATCCTGAACATGTGTAGGTACTTTACAAATAAACGTGATAAAACATTTATCAACTAAATTATATTTATTTTGATATAAAAGCAGGTATTCCAACATTTTCGCTGTGCACTATAGTTTGTTTTTTTACTACTACATTGAGAAATATAACATTATTTATTAACTTTGTTGAAATATTTTATGTTGTTTATTTATAAATAATTTAATGTTTATCAAATTGTATTATTTTTAAAAAAACATTATAGTTTAAGAAAAATATGATAGCAGGACAATTTAAAAACGTTTTAATCAAATTTATTTCTACTTTGTTTTACTTGTATTGCCCATATATTAATAATTAACCCAATTTAATTTTAACAAGAGACGTTTATCTAAAACTAGTTTTATAACAATCAATACAACCCTTGGACTTGCCCTTTCTATATCTATTATATTATATAGCTTTGTGATTATTTTTTTCTAATCGGCAAGTAGGTGGTCAGTCTTCTGTGATTGACACACGCCATCGACTGTTTGGGTCTGAGGAAGGTCACAAAAAGAAAGTATATTGACAACCAGGCTTCGTACCTATGACCGACCAAGTCGACTGGGCAACGAATTAGGGATATTGGACATAAGCGACACCTTGCAATAAGTACGATGATGTCACACCCTGAATAGGGCTATAAAAGTGTTTCTAACTGCTAAGATTGTCATCCCGAGAATATTAGGCCTTTGGAACAGTGGTCCGACTGTTTGAAAGGTCCCTTTATTTCATAGTACAAAAACGTGTGGTTTCATTCACCGTAATAAAAAATACAACCTTCCATAGTATCAAAGATGATTTATTTACACTTCACAAATAACAATCAATATAGAACACGGTAATAAATCTAGGGGCATCAGTCCTATATCTTCCAGTAAAGCCGTGCTAGAAGAGAGCTAAGAAGGCCTAAGAAGGATGAAACAAACACGAAGAAAATGAAAATCCGTAAATATCAATTACTTGATACTGACGATACTCAGAATTTTGGTCAACACGTATTCAACTGATAAGATATAAGGTATATAAGGTAATCTATTAAAAGTTATTATTATTCTACCATAAAAATCGTAATTATGAAGTTATTAATTCTGATAAGTGTTCTAGCGTGTGCGTTTGCGGAAATTAGTGATTATCATGAAAAAATTGGGATTCCCTTGGCAATTCGCCTGAAGAAATTGGAGCTGGCGAGAGACTTTGATGGATCAAGGATTTTTGGAGGACATGAGGCACCTTTGGGAGCTTATCCTCATATGGTAATGACATCTTATAGAACCTAGCATTTTTCCCTCACCTTCCCATTCCCTCACACTGAGGTTGTGTCATGATAAACATCACTAACTGACACTGTCAGTTGTGTAAGGCCTGACCAAACCAGCGCAGTCTTCTTCTAAATCGGCCTACACGCATTCTAAGAGAGCCTTTTTTCCTGTCTTCGTAAGGCAGACCTTTCAATCCACTTAGAAGTTTTTTATGAAACAAAAGGCAAATGAGCAGGCACTTAAGCGGTCAATTCTCCTCCCATGGACACACAGCCTCCTTCTTCTGCAATAAATATTTTCCATAGAACTGCATTATTCTTTCTCTTTAAATAAAGTTATGAATGTGTAAAACTTCTCTCTCTTTAATCGGCAGCTCATGTCTAAGCGTGGTCATCAAGAAAGTGTAACTTACTATAAACTAAAAAGAATTGCTGGGGTCTTCCACTATAAAACAAGTAGGTTTATTCTTCCTTCATGTGGTGTTTAACAATCACCTTCCCAGAAGTTATACATCACTGCCGTGTAATGCTTTCAAGGGGAAGGTGATTAATTTTTTAAAGTCAAGGTGCCTTTAATGGGAGAGTATTTAGACAATAAGTTTTAACACCAATTATAAATAACTTAACTTATTATTATGACATTATAAAATTGATTATGACATTTGCATGCCTGTTTATATATGGCTGATTGTGCGGATTTTTATAATTAATCGATCTAATTGTACTTTCTTGGCAAATAAACTATTTATTATTATTATTTTTGCCTTTTACGCCTCACTTGTTTAAAAAAACAAAAGTTTTATAATGTCAAGTCGTGATTACGTTGTATTAGTGTTTGCTGTACATTTTCTACTATTTTAACAATAGGTAAATAATACATTTGTTAAGGTATTTCTAAGTTATATACTTAATGGACTTTATTTTATATCCAACACATAAATATGCAGTATGTACAATATTCTTAACCTACATAGTAATAATAAAAATGAAAAGTTCATAACAAAAAAAAATTAAAAAGTTTAGTCCCTATGTTAAGGCCCATTTACACGATGCCATTTTCTTGCCTGTAGCATACAATTATATCTACGCAATAAATGATTTGCATGGTCTAAACAAAACGTAACATTCTTGATCAATGGGAAAAGTTTCCTTTCAAAACTATTATTGATGTAAACAGCACGTACAATAATTTCTTACGCAATTCTTGTACGCAATTATCTCTTCATTTGCAAACATGAGTGCAGTGAGTGAGGGTGTGTTGAATTAAATTAAATTAAACTTAAATAAATTAAAATTAAATTAAAAATTAATAAATTTAATTTTTTATTTTGTTTGTTATTTCCTTCGGTTCGAAACCGTCAACTTCAATTCCTGTGAAAATGCTGCTAGCGCAGCATTACGTGCATCGGTTCTTATAATTTACATTTTCGGTATCCCATAAACACTCATGAACTTTATTATATCAGCAGAACTGAATTTAAACACCTTTTTACTCATATTCATACCTCTCTGTTGGATGGTTCTAATCTTTTAAGAAGACGAGCACTGGCGGTGAGGGTCTATTTAAAAAAAACAATAATTTATGTTTATAAAGAGCCAAAGATGTTACACTATCTGCGTCTAGAATAGAAGTACTGAAAACAAAAAACAGAAACTATCTTTTTATATAAAATTAAAACAGGTATTCTTTATATTCTAAACTAAAACTTTTTCTTTACATGTGACAAGTGTTGCCTGCCATTATTACATTAATATTTACATATTCTAACTCCAACACTCTCTTCTAAAACATTTAAGACTTGAATGAAAAATTTGTCAACGCAAATACGTGCAATACTTGCACGAAAGCGCCATTAATTGGTATACGCACGTACAAGCCTGTGTTTAGACAAGTCAAAACTTGAAAGCAATAATCTCCTTAAAATAGTTGCATTGGTGTAAACAAAAGGCATGTGCAATTATTTCCTTGTCAAAACATGAATACAATAATTGCATTCAAGTTTTCAAGTGTAAACAGTTGCATACAATTCTTGATCGGCAATTATTGCGCTTCATTTATTGCATTCAATTATTGCTCTGGTATGTACAAGAAAATGGCATCATGTAAATGGGCCTTTAGTGTACCTTTAACGCTGGCAGCATTTCCTTGCTGTATTGCGATACTTATTCATTGAGCAAGTAAAGCACCAGCTCTGGGGTACTATCTATCAGATGTCAACTTAAATCTTTAATTAGTGCCTGTGTCTTTAATTACAAAATTGATAATAAATCAGTGTATATCATCTTATTTAAGGCTGGGCTTGTAATACCTTTGAGCATTAACTTCGACTCTGTATGCGGGGCAGCCCTGATCAGTAGCACCCGCGTCTTGACTGCAGCGCATTGCATGGTCAGCGATGCTCGCAACATCACTGTGGTCCTCGGATCTCGAACGGTATACTACGGAGGTGTACGAGTTAAAGCAACAGAGGCAGTTAATCATCCAGAATGGGACATATATAAGGGCCTCGCAAATGACATCGCAGTTATGTTCATACCTCCTGTTACGTTTACCGGTAAGTTTATGTGGTGTGCGCTTAGGGAGTACATAAAACAGTTATTTCTATTTCAAAGCCGGTAAAGTATCAGTATCCAACTCTGACATTATACGTATATTATACGAAATGAATATAAGTACTGGGTGGCGCAAAAGTACTGGCACTAAAGAATTTTTTTTAATTTTTGTATATGGCATTTCCTGTCATTCTAAGTCATCTAATTCAAGTCTGACAGGAAATGTCATATAAAAAAATAAACAAATTTTCTTTAGTGCCAGTACTTTTGCGCCACCCAGTATATGTAATATTCATTTCGTCATAATACATAACAAAAACTAAACATAATATATTACGGTACAATCATTTACGAAGGGAAAAAATCTATAAAAATTATTAAATATATTTAACTAAGTAATACCTAATTCGGCTGTGTTGTGTGATGGTGTATCAGTGAGGTTGTGTATGTGGGGTGTGCTCATGCAGGTTAAATCACTTGTTTTATGGATATTTTTAATACTCATTTTAAGCATATTTCGGTTGTAGCTTAAACAAGTGGTTATTGTATGTCGCTTGATACCAAACTGAGTTTTAGGATAGTTGGTGTTGATGTGAGGAACGTGGAACTAAGCACGTTTACAAGTCTGAGGAGGAACATGGAAGTGCAATTTTTCTAGTAGTGAGCTGCAATATAAACGCCAGTACCAGAGTTACAGATACTCCCAATAGCGTTAGCGATACCGATCCCAAGGTTTTAGTAGCGTTTCGATACTCTCAGTCTCATGCTCTGACGTCACAATCACATCCTAAAGATTGCGGTAAAAACAACATTTTGAAGTCGTAATCGCTATTGAGAGTTATATTCGTTTAGAGTTACAGTCTAAACAATTTGCTAAAGTTAACGACTATTACTTCGTCTACTACTACTAATACTATTAATTTTAACTGTGTTAAATAATATAAAAAAATAGTTGAAAAATTATTTTTATATACATTTTCCGCGCTTCTGACAAGACTGCTATTATTAATACAAACAGTGGATATCAAATTTAATAATGTTTAGGTTGTATTATTCTGTAAAATAAACGACAAATATAAAATTATTATTATTTATTTATTAGAAATCATAACAGTCAGATATACAGTAATAATGTTCTTAGCCTACATAGTAACAATTAAAATAATTAAAATTAATAAAAAAAAATCAAAATAATAATAATACTATTAATTTAATATTACTTTTATTCATAGTACACTTTTCACAGTTTTATTTTCCTAAAAAAACTTTACTCAAAATTATTTAATTTGATTCCTAACACGTAAGTGAGATTATTCTAACCGTGTATATTATTTATTACTTTACAGCTATGGCCAAATTTCTACTAAGAATATTATAAAACTATTATACAATGAAGTGATTTTTATAAAATTACCAGAAGAAAGATGAATGGCATTAGGCCAATCTTATAAATCTCGGGCGAAATAACGAAACGATGTGTTTTTGTCAACTCAAACAAAAATACAAGTAGCGGCACGAAACTCGAGCGCTGACCGTTATTGCGCAGAAGTAAAAAATAAGGTACCTGAGGGGGGCTAGCGGAATCAAGAGCGGGCGCGCGTAGCGTCGATTGGCTCTCCAGTCGCATTCCGTCCCCCGCACCGATACGACGCCCCGCGCACATCCCGTGTACAGTCGCGTCATTAATATTATTGTTACTGTTGTTACGTTTTAGATAATGTTTTTATTTTTCTACATCCCATAAACTTGTTAAAATATTTTAGGTCTTTTTAGGAAATATGTTCTATGTACAGACACCTTTTTACTGTCTTATTATATCTTATAGATAGGTAATATGTATTACTTACATGCGCGACAGTAATCATGCGCAGCAGCTATCCTTCACATTTCGTTCAGCTTAATATCGTTATTTAGGTAATCATTAATCAAAGTGGCATATAATGTATTAAGTAATGTATTGCGTGCGCGACAGTACACATGCACAGCAATCCCCTCCACGTATCGGCCAGCGCTAGATTTACGTGCCGCTGCCTATACATTTGATTGAAACGGACTTTTGTACCGCTTTCACTAGTACATAGTGTTGAAGTCCCGGGCGGAAGTCAGTTATTACACTAAAACTTATTGATGTGTTTCAGATATCATCCAGCCCATTAACCTTTACACGGGAAATAGTGATCTATCTGGTGTCTGGGCTTCAATCTCTGGATACGGAATAACAGGCTCCAGTAAGTTTATAAAAAACCAGTACGCTTGTCTTGGTCTGAGATGTCTGTTTTGCATATCCTTAATACTTTATTATACATAGTAAAAATAGATTTGTGCACTAGGATTCCCTGTGTCGTCGGCAGCCAGCCCCATCCTTTTGACACTGCCTTGCGATTCTGTAACTCACTTTTCGAACTCACACAGCGGTTTTCGCATCGGCGGTCGCTCTCAAATCAGTCGTGTAGCAGTCATTTTAGGATTTGGCATTCTGATAAACAATAAAGTACAAGCTCCCACCTCATGCGAAGTTTCACTTCAAAAAACCTAGATCATTTTATTTTAGCATCTATGCACGCCGACCCATTTAATTTATTATATTACAGGCCAAACATTAACTCCTGATCAGACCCTTAAGCATATGCAAACGCAAGTTATATCTAACGAGGAGTGCCAAAAGAGTTCAAGAATTCCAATATTGGAATCTAACATTTGTACGAGAAGTGGTGACAACAATGATAATGTTTGCAGTAGCGACTCTGGGGGCCCCCTGTCCCTTGGAAGCGGCCGTAATGGATTCTTGGTAAGATTTTTAAATACACAGAAATCGTTTTAAACGACTCTAACATAAGTATCATACAAAGGGTTCAAAATTACATCTTGAAACAAATATCCAACTGTTATAAGAACAGTTATATAAATACATCGGATATTCATGAGCACCTCAAAATCAGGACTGTCAAAGAGGAAATCAAGACCTGGAGTATGAAATACAGAAAAAGGCTAGAAATGCATCCTAACAAGCTTGCCACGCAACTAACCACACCGGACCTAATAAATAGGCTTAAAAGGCGACAAATCCTAAGTCTTGATAGACACGGTTGAAAGAGAGGAGCAGTCTCGATGGAGATTTTGCTCTGAACGCCTAACAGCTCTCAACACATCTGCTCATAGTCTAGCTGACTGATTGCAAGATAACTTATAAAAAAAGCAACGAGAAGAAGCGTATTAACAATAAGAATAATACAAAAACGAAAAAAGAGAAAGAATAAGACCCTAAAAGAAGAATAGTAGAAGACAAAAAAAGAAAAGAAAGCACCAAGGGGAAAAAGAAGAGCGTGCCCTAGACAATGGTGGGTAAAAGATATAGAAACGTTAGCAGGAAGCGAGTGGAGAAAGAAAGTCATGGTAAGAGACATTGGTAAACTGCTGGGGAGATCTTTACCCTTGAAGGGATTCCGATCATAGGTACGAAAGGAAGTTAGAATAACAGTAATAAAGAAAAAGAAAGTGGAAATATCAAATTTAAACAGTATATTTTATATAAAGATTGGAAATAAACGGGCTTTATTATCAATATTAGAATGCATCTTCTACCGCATTTACCATGGAGAGTGTTCAGAGAAGTTGTTCGGACTAATAGCTGAGTTTCATAATCGGACATCAAGGCAGAATACAAAATACCATCAGTATGGCCTTGACGTCCGTCGTTCCTCAACTGAGCGTTTCTTAAAGCAGCTTGCCGCGCACCACTATGTGGAACCAGCTGCCCACTTAAGTATTTCCAAACCAATTCGACATAGGGTCCTTCAAGAAAAGAGCGTACCATTTCTTAAAAGGCCGGCAACGAACTTGCGAGCCTGCTGCCAATGTGACTGTCCATCGGCGGCTCTATCACTTAACATCAGATGACCCAACCTCAGAAGAAAACTCTTTATGCAGATCACTGTAATGCTATCTGCCGTTCCAGAGTAAAAAAAAAAACCAAAAAAAAAACCTTGCCTGCCTTTATAAACTGAACAAAGTATATTTTTATACCATGTATTTTCTTAAATGCATATTTATGTCGTTATTTCTACCACATAATGATTCCGATTATTTATTTTTAGATTGGAGTTGTATCTTTTGGGGCAGGCAATTGTGAGCTTGGTCTGCCATCAGCGTTCGCTAAAGTTTCCTACTACGCTCCATGGATTATCTCACTCATGTAAATTGTAACTTACAAATAAAACGTTGGTGGAATGTGTTTTTGTACTCACATATAATATATAATCTGAAAAGACAGTCAAATATATAGAAAATAAGAATTTTTTGATGGAAACGAGAATTTGTTGTTTTGCCATGTATATTATTTCTAGGAAACATTTTTTTTAGTTCAATAAAAATAACTATCTACTATAATAAAAAATTGGGGTTGATTGAGAGGGGTGAAAATTTAGAGTTGTATGCATTTTTAAATGAAAAAAAAAATTCCAATCCTATCCACAAAATAGTTTTTTTTGGGGTGGACCATTACTTAGGAGTTTGTAGACGCATGTTGGAATACTAATTGGATGCAAGCCGGGGTTCGAATCTACGACCTCAGGAATTAGAGTCGCATTGAAGCGAATCCGCCAACATTACAAACACAAACAAAGATTTAAGTATGACATTAAAGTGTCGTACGTCAGTCTTTGGAACAGGTCTGAAGTATATTTAATTTGTTATAGAGTACATATATATATATACTTTTAAACATTTAAGTACTCAAGGCTTCAAAATTCTTCACTAACTTTGATAAAAGTTCAAGCTTCGTCTGAATCACTTGAGTTAAAGGGCCTATACACTCGCGATTCTCCACAGGCACCACAGTGCTGTCGGTGAACCCAAATTAAAACGTTTCATTTATTTTTCGTTGTTTTTGTATTCCTTTTGAAGTCAAACTTCTTTACTTTTTCTGACTTTCTTTGTTTGAAACGCAATAATAATAATAATATTAGCGTCACGAAGATGTGCAGCGTTTTTGTCGAAGAAAAGGGAGAGAGAGAGTGAGAAGGGCGAATTAAAAAGATAAAATTAAAAATTATTGTATTTTTTTTATGAAATATTAATATTTTATATAAAATAATTTATTCTGGCCGCTACGGATCTCTTAACCGAAGCCCTTGGGGCCTTCGGGCCAGTCAGTGATTAGACTGGTTCCTCCATTGAGTTTAAAGGAACCGCCACCATCCTTCCTCCACAAATCAAATAAATATTTTTCTGTTAAGTTATGCCTTTTCTATTTGCCTCTATTATTGCTAAGTGATACAAAAATGAGGACAAAAATTCAAGAGCTCATTTTAATATAAAAAATTCTTTTTTCATATAACAAAAAAAAAATCAATGGCAACAACCGCTTTAGGCCTGGGCCTCAGATTTCTATTTCATGATCATTTGTCAATCTACTAGGCAAGTTGATCAGCCTCCTGTCCTGACACACGCCGTCGACTTTTTGGGTCTAAGTCAAGCCGTTTCCCTCACGATATTTCTTTCACCATTCGAGCGAATGTTAAATGCGCACATAGATAGAAAGTCCATTAAATAGCCGGGGTTCGAACCTACGACCTCAGGGATGAGAGTCGCTCGCTGAAGCCACTAGGCCATTACTGCTTATTCGATTTATAGCTTTATTGAAATCATTAGTTTCAATTAAAAGGTTCTCAGTCTTTGATGAGAAATGAGATATTTAATAACATGCCCCCGCTTGTAATGTTCGAGTCGTTCCTGTGTCAACGGCCTATTTAACGAATAGTTTTAATACTTAACAAGCCCTCTTACTTCACGCTTGGCGGCTTCCAGTTATTCATTTCGACATACTTTTTAATCAAGTTTCAGTATTTCTGAAGCAAAATTATTAAATAGATTTTACATGAACTTTGTATATTTTTTCTAAAACACATCATTATATTTAATACGTAGTCTATTCCTAATAAAAAAATAATAGAAAAACAATAACCAACCTTAAAATATAATAACTAAAATATGTTATTAAAAGGAGTCCCTTTAGGCAAGGTTCCGAAGATATTGGCAGCGTTCCCCCTTTGAATAGCTAGCCTAATTCTTTGTCCGAGGTAGCTGCCAGCTCTTCGGTCTCCTGTGGTGTCGACTAACCTTTAAGCTATTTTCTTAAAAAGCCTTATAGCGCTAGGAGATCACGGACCAAGGGCTCTCTCTTCAACTTTTAGATTGCATTAATTTGTTACATCGTTACATGTTGTTCGTTTTTTGTACGAAATCGCTTAATATAGAGTAAAAATAAAATCCTGTATTATTTAAAGCACCCAGATGACCCAGGAACCTTACAAATAGTACTAATATAAAATTTGTTTTATAAGAAAGTACTCTTATAAAACAAATTTTAACCATAAAGGATAAATTTACAACTTATAGTTAAATGTAAGAATATTTTTGAAGTTATACTTCTTTAGGCGCGTTATGAAAAATTTATGAGAGTGAAATTTTACGATGCGCGCGCACCGTGACACAAAATTATCAGTATGGGCGCCGAGCGTGCGCGAGCGAGATGGGAATAAGACAATCTACAAGTAAAAAGAAATAGAATATGCGTGACGTTAGCAGCTATGCCAAGAATTTTGAATGACCATAATGACATTTGTAGTATCTTTTAAACAAATAAAGGTGTTTTAATTATTTTTTCAAAGAAATTTAGCAATGCTTTTTCACAAAGACCTATTGTTACTTAGTTAAAAGGTAATGAAACATACCTAGTTATTAAATTGAATTAATAATATAATAAAACAATATATTAATTAATATTAATAATTGGATAATATTATTAATTAATATTAATAATTGGATAATATACTAAATATTAAATATTGTTAAATTATTAACGCTAAATATTTATTATTAATTATTTAATATTTAAAAAAAATAAAGAAAGCCAAAGAAGTATAACTTCTTACGCGCGTACATAAGTAAACGCACCATTTTTTTATTTGTGTTTATGTATTTAATTAACTAATATTTATTCTACATCAAAACCTTAGTCTTCCCCCGATTGTCATATTGCCACCTCTTAAGTGCCTCCATAACATCATCATTCATTAAATGACCAAAGATTTTCTTTGCAACCTTAGCTTGACCAAAAAATATGTCTGCCCCATGCCCCACACTGGGAGGGTGATGCTTCGATTGTGCTCTTACAAACGGAAAATCTAAATAATCAATGTAATCACTGTCCTGTACTTTTACTTTTTGATAATTATGTATATCTTCTCTCTCATATCTTGGATCGTTGACATAGTATTTCCTGGATAATAACGGTTTCTTATACGGGATAAACATAAATATTGGACGCACTGTTTTCCCGGGTTTCTCTGTGTCAATGTCGATTGGAACTGCGCATTGTATAACATCAGTTTTGTCTGGAAATTAATGTTATTAAATTTTAGTGAAGATTTTTTTTTTGTCGCTGAATGGCATAACTCTTGTAAAAACAGCTATGCGTCGTATTATTTAGTTGGCAATCCGTTAATCTTCAAATACCGAGACCCCCAATCGGGACCTGGGGTAAAATTGCATCTATTTCACTTACCTTTCTTATTAATACTTTTTTTTTCTTGGGAAAATTCATTAAGGAGGGAGTTATTTAGTTATTAGTTTCTTGTTTAGACTCATTTAGTTTATTGTTTATCAGAATGCCAAATCGTAAAATGACTGCTTCACGACTGATTTGAGCGCGACCGCCGCTGTGAAAACCGCTGTGCGAATTCGAAAAGTGAGTTACAGAATCGCAAGGCTGGTGCGGCTTGTGATGCGGCTGAAAAAGCTAAAGCATGCAAATACAGGGGTCTAGGCTTCGAATATGTTTTTGTCCCATTCGGTGTCGAGACCCTTGGTCCGTGGGGTCCTAGCGCTATATGGCTTTTTAAGGAAATAACAAAAAGGTTAGTCGACATCACAGGAGACCGAAGAGCTGGCAGCTACCTCAGACAAAGATTTAGTCTAGCTATTCAAAGGCGGAACGCTGCCAGTATCTTCGGAACCTTTCCTAAAGGTTCTCGGTGACTCTAATGACGGTGATAATAATATATTTTAAGGTTAGTTATTGGTTTTTGTTATATTGATTTATGTTAGCTGTAGGAAATAAAGAATGATTGTTTGAAAAAGAATCTACTTCAATATCACTTACAAAGAAACATCAATTTCATGTAAAAAATATAAATGAAAATTTCTCGTCCGTACATTCGTAAACTGAAATGTGAACAGACGTAATCGAATGCCTTATCGCGAACTCATTTCCTTTCATAGCCCAAATGTAATTTTTCCGTGAGGTTGGCAATTCATGAATTTTCTATATATTTATTTCCTTAGAAATTTTAACTCCTACGAATTTGTTTTGAAGTTTTAAACTTAATTAAATTTAATATAAAAATACAAAATACTGTGCCCGGTAAAATTTTGGAATCCCTGATTTTATATCAAAATAAATCTAATTTAGTTAATTAATATTCTGTTCCGATTATTTGTAAAGTACACAAGAAGTTCAGGATTATTTAATAGAACTAAAGACAAAAAGGATTACACTTTTTCTTTAGTCAAGATCTGAATTTGTTTTCTGGCGAAACATAATCGGGTGGGTTCGTTACAACATTACCTAAACTACAGGGAAACACGATAAGTTAGTATAAAAGTTATATCTAGTATGGTATGATACAACAATTTAGAGGTAAGGAGGGACCTTACTATCACATAATATTTTCTAATTTCCTTAGAGGTAAAATATATAATGCGGAAATGTTGGAGAGACTGGGGCTGCGTGTGCCAAATAACCACACTTGGCGTGGTTAGCGGTCGCAATTGCTGGCACTGCCTCTGGCGCGTACGATTACTCACAGAAGCACCATTTACGCGTGTCTTGCGCACCCTAAACTCAATTGCTTGTGAGACGGATATACATATTTAGTTGCACACTAGCTGAATTCACAAGAATTGCATTATCTATAATAAGTTATAAAAAGGTTTAGATTTTAGGTTTTACTTGTTATGTTTATATTTTGTTTTGATGTGAAACATCTATAGCCGCACGTAAAATCGATTTCTGGCGTGGCGACGCATGCCGTGGCGATGCGTCTATATGATGGTATATATATACAGTCTATATGCAGTAGTGTGTATGGTGTGTGTATTTCGAAGTCACTGATTAAACGAATTAAGCAGTCACGATTTGAAATAAATTCGTAAATTTATGTATTTAATGAACATAAATGTTTATTCAATAAATTGTCATCGTTATCTGGAAAAAAAAATCGTAATATTTTATTTTATCATTATGACATATTTAGTTCCTATCACAATCTGTTCTTTTCTACATATTACTTTAACAAAATAATGTCGATGTTTCACATCTGCCAGGCGTCCCGTGACGGCTCACATTTTTTTTTTAGTTTAGTTTTCTATTGAATTAGTAATAAGTTAATGTAAAAATTGGAAACAGGGAAAATAAATCAATAAATCTTACGGAGTAAAATAATGGGTGTTCACAAACTCTGCATCTATATCATATAACTTGTCCAGGTTTATGTAATTTATAATTATCCTATTATATATAATCCTATTTCAGTATGATAATATTTAGGCTAAGAATATGCGTTAAATTACTTGCTTAATATGTCTGAAAACTTAATTTCGTATCGAGATATCTACATCAAAATTGGTTTAGTAATTTTAGATATATGGATATTAACGCATTTCTGGAATGGACACGTTCAACATGTGTCTAAGTTAATAATCCTGAGAGGCTTTGTAGTCGATTTAATATTTAAATTACGTTTTTTCTCAACGAACACAAGAGACGATTATTCCTAGAACTCAACACCAAAAAAGGTTCTAATTCGAAGTGAAATACATTAACTACACAAGTGCCAAAAGGTAAAAGTTTTAATTAACTGAATACTTGCGAACAAACTTTGAGTTTCAACTTCACGTTCCACGTTCTATCTCGCTCTACAAATAGTCAAATGAAACAGCATTCCTTGTAATTTTCTTTATTTCATTGAATTCAAGTATTAGTTAAGTTGTATGAAGTATGAACAATTCGATGTTATTAAAAATGAACTACCCTCCAAGGGCTTACATATCTACCCTCGAAGGGTTTTAATCTTGTGGACACGTAATATCGTCTTCTCATTATGTTGTTATCACAAACTTTACGTTTTCAGATTAAAGAAGTAATTTTTGAAATTATTTGTAAAGGTATTCAATGCCTACATTATTCAAAACATATCATTATTTATCAAATCACAATCCTTTTTAATCTAATCAAGACATTAAAACACGACACACGTGGTAACATTAATATATACCTATATATTATACGAGTACCTACGTCCAACATATATATATATATTATACTAATTTCTCGTATATTCACGTACAAGAAAAGATAGGTCAGAGTATCGTAAAGTATCCATAAAGGTGTTTACCATAAATGTTAGTTTCATTTATCAGTTTTATATTTATCGACCACAATCTCTACAATAAAGGCGACACAAGACAAAACACATCCAAAAAGCCAAATATAAAACGCGCCAGCTGACTGCGTCAACGTTATCTTGCATCCTGATTGACAGCTGTAACTATTAGACATTAAGTTTTTTGCAGCAGATTTGCCTTTCGCCGTCAGTAAAATACCCACCGCCTCTTCGTATGATTTCTGACAAATACCAGCTTCGAACAGATGCAACATTACCTTTTTCAGCGCACGACCGAAGACAATATTCTTTCTAATAATCATTTCGTGGTAAACAAATATGATATCTTCCTTCAATTGAAACACTCTTGCTTCGTCGTTTACTGCGGTTTTAAATTGATAGCCAGGCATGTGTCCTTCTATAAGAACAGTCGCTCCTTTCTTTTCTATAATAACTTGTTGACAATGGATGAAGCTATTGCAATCACCAGAAGTATTGGCGAATCTTTCGTATTTTTGATCTTTTATAAAATATTTGGATGTTAGTTTCAAGTAAGGTTTGATACCAGAATCCATAAGTTCATCGATGGTTTTATAAAGACGCGGCGGAGATTGTATGGTTAAGTATGAATAAAGCTGGACACTAATATACGCTGATAAATGTAAGCAAAGTATTAAATACATACAATTTACAATTTTCTGTTTTATAGTTCTGGCATCGTGTAAAGACGACGCTCCAACTAAAGCACCCCAACTAAACAGCAACGTTTGCTTCAATGAAAACGTTTCACTGTCAATCCTACAGATCATCTTCCACATGAATACGTGTATAACGTAGAAAAGCAAAAAGAAATAAAGTCCATTCACTTTTGTTACGAAAGATTGCCAAGATCTTATTTCTCTTTCAACGCTGTACGCCCATACCACTGACTGCCTTGTATATATACCTGAATAGTCCACAATGTCTCCGTAAATTCTGTATAATCCTCCAGCGCAAATGTCCAAACTGCCATTAAGAAGTAAACTTAAAAACGTTTGATCCACATATGGATTTTCTTGATCTCTATGAATAAAGAAGAAATTTATAGTTGAATTTAAATAATCGGACAATATTTTTAAAATCACAACGTCAGATCCTAAAACGATTTCTGCTTCAGAAATACTATTCAAGTTTTCATATTTACGAGTATTGTTACTTAATAGCATATAAGGATATAACTCTCCTATCCCAGCATTTAAGGAACATTTCTTCAAATTCATGACCGATCTTTCAGCAAATACCTTATTTCTTCTACTCAGCGATCCATTAATGCACACATTGACCTCTGCAAGTCTTACTTTATCAATTATATCACAAGTAGATTCATCGATGTCAAATTTTGCAGAATTTAAAGTAAAATCATCCGAAGAATTAGATTTCATAGCTATTACCACATTATAAGAAATCATTTCTTTAATTGTATCGAAGTTATGACAGTTAATTTGATCTTGAAAAATTATTAAATACTTAATTTCTTTACTATTGAAATGTATATTTTTGAGGTCTAAACAATCGTTTACTATTAATACTAATAGTATGTCACCATTTACCACAGTATTGTTGTACCAAATACCTTCGTTAATTATTGTACTAGGTACTCCACTAATATGTACTTGTGTTACTAACGTTTTAATCAAATCATTATTAGATTGCGTTTTTACTGCATCGTTTATTAAAATCGTGGGTTTATAATTTAAATCTCTATTAGCTATTGCCACAACACATTTTGATAAAAGCACATTGACGTTACTTTGGCTGTTTTGTGAATTAATTCCTGAGTTATGATGAGAAAGTAAGAGGTACATAAATAAAGGTACGGTCTCCATGATGGAATATCAAAAGCTAAATAAATTTATTCAGGATAACTATCATAGAACTAACAACCAACTAGACTGTTTGATCATAGACGGATTTGAAACATTTCACTTAGAAAACAAATGCTTAATTTTATGGAAATTATTCTGAACATGTTTGTTTAATTAAAATGTTTGCCAGTCAAATTTTAATTATGACTATTTAAATACCTAATAACGCTTTAACGGTTAAATGAGTGACTTTATGACTGTTTAGCGTTCCTGGGTATTATTATCTAAATAATATTTGCATATATGCTGACACATCGTGAGGAAACCGATATATCTTAGACCTAAAAATGACTCGTACAAAGACGGATCAATTGCTTCATAGAGAATTAAACATATATATATATATATATATATATATATATATGTACTAATATATATATATATTATATATATGTACTAATAAGTAATAAATGCATTATTAAAATATAGCTTTAAATCCAAGGTACAAAATCTTTATTTGATAGGTATTTTACTATGTATTACACAATATTCAAAACTGGATGATCCGTTGGCCGTGACAGAGTAGCGAAGAAACAAAATACAAAGTCATATCTAAAACTTCTTAGGTCTGACTATCAAACTACATTTATATGTATAATAGAAAATCTGCCTAAAAGGTATATTCAATATAATTATACGCTTTGCGTTTAATGGAAGTGTCTTGTACTAAATGGACCGATTTTTATTTCAAACGGAAACAAAACTTTTCACTTAATATTTCATTAGTAGTCTATTATTAATTGGAGATTTGAACGAAACTATTATCTGTTTTGAAAGTTAATTGAGGCTGACTGTATCTTCTGCAATACCAGATTTTTTAAATCTTAACCAAATTCAGTAGCTTAATATAAGAGAAATATATAGTATCTGAAAACAAATAATAATCAATGGCACTACAACCTTTTTAGGTCTGGGCCTCAGATTTCTGTATCTGTTCATGATCATTTGGTAATCTAATAGGCTAGAAGGTATAAAGGATGATTCACGGTACACCGTGTCGCGACCGGGCCGGGTCTCGGCCGGGACACGTCCACCGTGCGCCAGCCTGGACAGTGATTCATGTTACACCGGGCTGTTTGAGTGTACGCACGTACGTGTTTGCACGACTATATCTGTTTTTGTCAGCTAGTGATTTCATCTGTCGATAGACTTGACGCTTAAGTAATTATGCAATTTTCACAATTTGAATTGGCAGCAGCTGTTGCAATTGCCATCGATGACGAAGTATTAGAAAAACGAAGCGAAAGTACTAAAAGAAGATGGGGTGTACATCCAACCTGGAGAAAGCGAGAAGCAGAAGGGGAATTTTCTTTACTTTACAAAGAATTAATAGACGACGAGAGCAAGTTTTATGGTTATTTTAGAATGTCTAAAGAATGCTTTACTTATTTACTTGAAAAATTAAAACCAGATCTAACCAAAAAAATTACAAGATTTCAAAAGCCTATATCTCCCATCGGATTATTTCGTCCGAAATGGTTTTCCATATAATATTTTTGTATTTGTTATCTAAATACTTAGGATGGCTCATGCCGTAAATCACAGGGTACTTGCGTACACATTCTAATAATTTTTCATCGTCCATTTTGCTGTTGAGCTGCAGACCTCACTAAGATTTTACGTTGACTGCTCTGCGTGTGGCCGGGCGCCTACGTTCATGTTACGACGTGTCGGGGCCGGACCGTGCCGGAGCCGGGAAACAATACCCACCGACATTACCGGGCCGTGCCTCGGCCGGGGCACGGCCCGGTCGAGACACGGTGTAGCGTAAATCATCCTTTAGCCTTCTGTGCCAGACGCACGCCGTTGACTTTTTGGGTCTAAAGCAAGCCGGTTTTCTCACGCCTTCACCGTTCGAGCGAATGCGAATGAATGAAAACGAAATTTGTTTTGTATTTAATAAAACTCACATTTTATTAACAATTTATTTACAAAATTCGTAGCACTAATTATAGTTTAATAAAATTGTACTTGAGACTTTAATGCGTAAATAAATTAACACAATAATTATTTATGCCATCATTACATATAGCAACTATCCGATGGACTGACTAGAATAAAATTGTAACAATGACTGGTATCTATACAAATAATACAATCTTGCATAAAATTAACATTTATGTTATAAGTTTGAATACCCTTGAACTTTAGTGAATGGAAGGGAAATATTCTACTATTAGCGTACCACGTATTTAGTATGAAAAGAGTCAGAGCGACGACAAATTTAAATATGGTCTTGTACTTTTGCGCTTTTAAATAGATTAGTCAAATTACAAAGTAGATATATGAGGATGGAAGAAGGAACCTGTAAAAACTGTGCCCTTGTGTTACAATTAGGATGGGTCGATTCATTATAACAATTATAATCGACAATTTGAAACCATTTTAATCTTCTTTTCCAGCCCAGATACTGTCTCCATTAACCTCGGTCGTTCCTCGAACATACTCCTGAATTATTGGAAGTTTGTACAGGTACACAGAGACAATAGAACCAGCGCACGCGCCAGCCCAGTAGACAGTAGCGAATTCAGACAGCGAGTGTCCATGGCAACCGGCTTTCAGTGACGTTGCTAGCACAGGATTGAAGTAGCCACCGGAATAGTCGAAAGCTGAAAGAAAGAATGCATTAAAATCACTTATGAGTTGTCCGCGCTATATATAACCTGGGTCCTAGAGTTTCTCTCCGAGAGAAATTCAAAGAGATAAACATTCTGACTGTAACTTCACAATATATTTTTGAAAATTTACTTTATGTTCACAAAAACGAACCTGATTTTGTCAAATTGTCTGATCTTCACTCCCGAAATACTAGGAACAAAAATAAGTTTAACAGTTCATGCTACTCGCCTTCATAGAATAAGCAACTCGTTCATGGGTCAATGTATACGCTTTTACAATAAACTTCCTATGGATGTTCGTAAACTTCCCCTTAAGAAATTTAAATTTTGTATTAAATCAAAATTATTAACTAAAGGATATTACAGGATATCCGATTATTTAAATGATAGAAACGCCTGGGATTGAGCTGCTCGCTTATACAGCTATCGCTTGTGTTTTTTTTAAGCTGTCTTTCACTTTTTTTTTTTTTTGCATGTTGTACATATTTACAATCTGACATGTCTTGTGCTTTTGCATATGCATTTTATTTTATTCTATTGACATGTTTGTGCTTAGTGCATATTCATTTTTTTACATTTTTTTTTCTCTACATTACTGACATGTTTTGTGCTTTTTCATACAATATTTTACACTTTGACATGCCAAGTGAATAATGTTTGTATTACGATTATATTTTTCAATTTCATTATTTTTTCCTTGCTTTAATGTACACCTTAAAAATACATTTTGTATCCATTGTAAGTGTAAACATTATGCGGGTATATCATAAACTCTTTTGCTTGATTTATAATTTGATACATTTTAGTATATAGTTATTTTGGGCTGGCGATCTGAGTGAGTTGTTGCCCCACATATTTTTATGGTGCCACTGGCGGTATTGCTGTGTACCGCGTTGTGCAGCTCCCTCAAAAATGGTTGAGCTGCATGAGCTATTCGGGGCATGCTTGCCGTCTGCTGGCACAGGCTTGCTCAGATCGATCTGGTTCTTTCTTCCAAAGACCAGTCCAGTAAATACTCTGCATTTGTTTACAAAAATTTATTAATTTATTATTGTATTATCTGGACTATAAAAGAGACTAAGACCCCCGAGTTTGTTTCGACATTTCTTCTCAGGGCAGTCAGTTAGGAAATGTCGACTTCATCTAGTTTAGGATGACATTGTAAAAGTGATTTATATAGTCCTACTTGCAAGAATAAACTATTTCATTTCATTTCATATGTTTTCGCTGTTTTTAATTGGTAAGTAGTTCTTTTTTCTTTAGTCTGTACAACGTACCTAGAAGAGATATTTACTGAGGGAATGTAATGTTTGAATAGAATAATGAGCCTTGATTTGTTTAAGCTATCGTGAAATATGATTAGAATAAATATTACGAATATACATAGCGCAAAATCACCTGCATCATGAGCATACCCCACATACACAACTTCACGTACATACCCTCACTTTTACACCATCACACATCACAGCCAAATTAGGTAAATTAGTTAAATGTATTGAATAATTGTTATTGTTTTTTCCCTTTTGTAAATGTTTGAACCTATTAATAAATATTATGTATTTCATATTTCGCTATCTTTTTAGTGAAATTGTTTGTTTTTATATATAATTTTCGTTAGCTGTAGGATTACGAAATAAAAAAATGACAAATGAAGTTCAGTTGGATCATTATCAATGTATCTACTGAACAGACACATCGACGTTGCTTTAAATTGTCAAGAATATTTAGTAAAAGTAGTCATATATCATGCAAATACTACGCAATACTCGTCGAGTGAGTTTGCTTATCTTGCCAAAGCCGCGTACAAATTATTTGAAGAAGTCTATTAAGTATGAGGGTGTGCAATTATTTAATCAATTACCGTCTAAAATTCGTTATATTAGCGCGTTTAATAAATTCATAAAGGCATTAAAAATACATCAGAATGAGGCTAGACTAAAATTGGGACGGCTGATGGCGACGTGTATCTCGTTCGTATATAGTAAGTTCCTCATGTAAATAAAATACATTTTTTTTGTAATCAGAAATAAAGTTATTTAAACATATTCAAAAAGGTTCTTTCCAAATCTAATAGAGATAAGCTTTTACAGAATTCAAATTAAATAACTGGAGTTTTCCGCGAAAATGTATCGCAACATAAAACAAATTTGTGAGTTATTACCATAGGGGCCTTTAGGAATTCAGCGTTTTAAATAAAATTACGAAGTACGAATTATTCAGGGAGTATATGCAAGTGCGGCGGGAACCAACACCGAGCTGCTTGGAGTGTGGCGCAAATGATGATACTGCACAGCATACGTTGGAGGATTGTCCGCAGTGGTCTCAGCTACGTCACAATCTTATTTCTGTGATGGGTAATAACCTTGCTTTGCCTTGTGTTGTACAAAAAATGGTCGGCAGTGACGAGGTATGGAATGCAGTGGTATCCTTCTGTGAGCATGTCATGCTACAGAAGGAGACAGCAGAACGAGAGAGGGAGCGCTTTAGGACGAATCCTAGGGGTAGAAGACGGGGAGTAAATAGGAGAAGATATGCCCATCTCCTACCTCCTATGTAGCGTATATACACCGGAGGTTTTTGAGTGTAACATGCCGTTGAGGTCCCGGTAGAATGCGACAGCGACCCCGGAGCCTCTGTAACGCGGCTTTGTCGGAACTACTCGAGGTGGTTTTAGTGGGTATTGCTCACCCAGTCTCTGAATAGCAGAGATTTTGGCGTGGGTTGAGTCCCACATACCCCTGTTCAGGGGATGCGCAAATGCATTTCCACCTCGGATAACAAAAAAAAAAAAAAAAAAAAAAAGGGAGTATATGCAAAATGAATTTTTAATCTAATTGATCGAAAAAAGATGTTCTATAATTCTTATATACAATGCAGCCGATTACTATAACATTTGTATACTAACTCTTTGAATAATATATTTATTGAATACTTATTAATGTACATACATAATTAATTAGCGCAACGAAGGTATTATCACTTACAAACGAACTCATCCAGACATCATAAGGGCAATTAATTATATGATAAAGTGCAAAACTTCACATAGTAAACAAAGACAACATATATATGATTCTAAATCTATACACGTATACCGACTTCAAAAAACTTATCAGTGGGACTTGTGTTAATTGATATTATTGGAAATGGGTTATATTTGAGTATGATTTAATTAAGCTTTTAAGCTAAACTTTCGCTTAAAATTCTTGTAACATAAAGTCTCAAATATTCCAACGTAGGAGACAGTTCAAGTGTTCAAAGGTTCTATTAATTTGTCATCACGTATTTTCCTTTTCAATTAGACAGGTATTTGTAGATGGTTTTTAATTACTATTAGGTACTATTTTTGCGACACAACAGGGAGCGGTGGAACCTTCTCGTTTCGAAGGCCAATAAAAATTTTGGACCGCAGAGCTATCGGAGTGAGTATTATTAGAATACACATATTAACATATTAGTACAATTTAGTACCTCTTCCTAAATTAACTTTGCATGAAATTGACAAGTAGAAGTCGGCATTCGGATTTTCTTGATAGTTGTAGGTCAAAATCGTGTTTCTATACAGAGACCCTGAAACACACAAGCTAAGCTTTGCTAAGCGAAAAACGTCAGGTTATCGTAACTTTGATTTAATTGCGAAGCTGGTTAGTTACACACACTTTAAAAAATAATTTCAAAACATTTTAATTATGAGAAGTTTAAAAAACAACGGATCCTTTGCCTTAATTTTCTAAAATGCTAGTTTCAAAGTTTGTTCTTCACTGTGTTATAGGGATGATATGGTCTGAACCTTTGACTTTGGGACATAAGAGGTGAAATTTACTGGCAAGAAAAAATACTTAATTTCAAAATAACAGTGATATTTGTAAAGAATATTAAGTTATTGTTTGCTTGATTTATATAAAGTAGAAATTGATAAAATAATTTGTGTTCAATAGTCTAACCTCGAGGACCACGACGTATTTATTTGGATAAAAACGCTGGGTACTGTTTGTAACGAAGTAAAGGACGTTTCTAAAAAAACTTACAGTACGGTGATGAATAAACACGTGAAAAATTTCTTAATTTCTTTCTTAATTAGCCCCTTATAAAATATTTAAAAAAAATGTGTGTGTACTTGAGTACACGCGTTAGAAGTTATACTTCTTTGGCGTAACAAGATAAAAATCTTTTAAAAAAATTTAGCTTTCGACTTATACTACGTTTGTAGAAAAAACGACACTAACAATAGAAAAGAAACTACTGTCATCATTTTTCCCTAACGCGCCAAAAGAAGTATAACTTCAAAAAAATTAAAATGTTAACTAGCTAACTTTAGGGTGTCGGTATTTTGTGACGATGTGCGCGCGCATCGTAAATCATAATTTTTCCCTAACACGCCAAAAGAAGTATAACTTCAAAAAACAAAAGAAGGTGCCACGAAACTCAAACATGCAACACAAAAAAATTCGAAGTTTCGTTTTTGTGAAATGCTTACCGGCTACAACTAGAGAGGTTCCTATAAAGGCGTCGATTGCGGTGGCAAATCTAGGATTTAGATCACCCAAGGCCCTCGATGCCAGTCTGCATAAACATGTCGCTATGCCCTCCACCAAGGCGCCATATAACACGGGCACCTGGAGAATAAAAGACACTATAGATCGAAAAGCAACTTCGTCGGGACGCGACACCATCGCCCACTGGTGAAATAACCTGTGAGTGTTGTCATAAGTGTTGTTTGCCATAGTCATTTTGTAGGATGTCATATTTTAAAAGAGTACCGAGAGTTTTTTACGCTGGCTTTTTCTCTCGGCCTACTAGACCACAAGCCCATGAACAAAAAATACCTGTGAAATGACCCAACGTGAATTACGCTTAGAAGGCTGTTACTATATCTGAAAATAGCTCTGAGCACTATGCCGTCATTTCTGAGCGGTACATGTGAGTACGTGAGTGAATGAACTTTCTCAGGTACAATTGGGGAATTTCGACTAATTATTAATGTACGGCTTTGTTATAAGTGTATAGATGATTAAAAATAAATGTCGAAAAACCTAGTGCCGTACTAAAGTGATGGTGCCGGAAGTCAGTGCAAATTTTTAATTCGACGACAGTTGCAGAAGCAATATAGGTAATTTATTACTGTACGGCATTTGTGTGATTCCTTTTGGACACATATACAGATACTTTACCCGTAAACGCCGTACATGTTTCCAGCGGAGCGGTCGAAAGCCAAGGGTCGGAACCCTACCCCTACACCCATATACCCTAAGGTCATTGTAAAATGTACGGCAACATGTTCAAAATATTATTTAACACGGACAATAATGTTTTATAATTATGCCGTCCAAAAATTATAGTTAATATTTGTGTAAATAAATATTTATCGAAATTTCAGGATTTACCGAGTTATTACTGCTGTAAGATCAGAGAATAATGCACGGCAACTTGTTTTTTTACATAATGTTACTAAATGTTACCGTTGTACCTTATAGCCGTTCATTATAAATGGTAACAAATAATATTATGATAAAAAATATATGAAATTTCCGAAATTTAGATGATTTTTCAAATATTCCTAAAGTAATATAAGGAGTAATATTTTCAAAGATTATTGTTATTTTATATGTAACAAATATAAATAAACAAAAAAAACCAGATGCCGTACATTTTGCTCCAGATTATTCTTTACAGCTGATAAAAACTTCGACGAAGTTTGAGGTGTCCCTTAAGGTCATTAATAACTGTACGTATCTGAGTATACTACCATAAGGCTGTAAAGTATATTTACAGCCTTATCGTACGAGCAGAGAGAGGTAAAGGAAAAGTATTTTTAACAAAAATAAAAATATAATACAGGGCGTCCCAAAGTTTTGGGACATGAAGGGAAAGTACCTTTAATATCGTAGATAGGGTATTTTACTGAAAGAAGATTTTACGTTATTTTTAAAAGTTAGTAATTCTGCTTTAAAAGATTTTGAAAAAATTACTAGCCTCGCCTGGAAATCGAACCGGCTTAAATGTAAAAAAAACACCCCTACTTTTATGATACCGATCGAAAGAATGGCCAAAACCTAATAACTTTTCTAAAGTAACAGACTAGTAGGGGATTTTTTTAGGCCGAATACGATAGATAATGTTTTTAATTTGATTAAAAAGATATATTCACGCAGTTCCTTTCTTTTAAAATACTATGTTACTTAAGAAGAGTTATTAGTTTTTGGCCATTCTTTCGATTGGCATCATAAAAGTAGGGGTTTTTTTTACATCAAAGTCGGTTCGATTCCCAGACGAGGCAAGTAATTTTTAGAAAATCTTTGAATGCAGAATTACTAACTTTTAAAAATAACATAAAGTCTTCTTTTAGTAAAATACCCTATCTACGATATTTAAGGTACTTCCCCTTCATATCCCATAACTTTGGGACGCCCTGTATTGGTAGGCGGTGGTATAATCTGCCATTTCACATACTAGCGGACTATCGAAAGTGTACGGCATTTATCTTTTATTGAAGATTGTCTAAAGTATTAATAACCTGTGTTATTGCCGTACAGATTAAAGTCACCGGAAAATGACTCTTTTTCGGAGGGAAGTAATTTACCCCATACACCTATGTGTTCCACAAAAAATGTACGGCATGCTGGAAAATGTTACCTATTTGTGAAGAACTCTCAAGATCATTTAATTTTATGTTGTTCTATATCATCATCACCTATATGCTAATCAGACATATGTTGCGACCCTTGGCTTTCGACCGCTCCGCTGGAAATATGTACGGCGTTTACGGGTAAAGTATCTGTATATGTGTCCAAAAGGAATTACGCAAATGCCGTACAGTAATAAATGACCTATATTGCTCCTGCAACTATCGTCGAATTAAAAATTTGCACCGACTTCCGGTACCATCACTTTAGTACGGCACTAAGTTTTTCGACATTTATTTTTAATCATCTATACACTTATAACAAAGCCGTACATTAATAATTAGTCGAAATTCCCCAATTGTACCTGAGAAAGTCCATTCACTCACGTACTCACATGTACCGCTCAGAAATGACGGCATAGTGCTCAGAGTTATTTTCAGATATAGTAACAGCCTTCTAAGCGTAATTCACGTTGGGTCATTTCACAGGTATTTTTTGTTCATGGGCTTGTGGTCTATACACCCTGTCTTCTTTGCCGATGAGTAGGGATGTTTACCGTAACAATTTAATGACGTGTAATAAGTGATCTTATATTCCATACTAAGCATATTTTATTTTAATTTATTTTAGAGGTTATTTCATCAGCGCAATCAGTCAACCCCCAGAGTGAGTTCCGGAGCTCAACTTAGGCAAAGAGCAGTTTTACAGATTTGGCGAATTGGCCCTCCTCCCTTCGGGGACTCGAGCCTTTTGGCTGAAAGTACAAAGAAGTGAATAGAACTTTTTTAGAACTTCATGTTTAGTTGAAGTTAATGAAATTATGCCATAAGACTTGTATTTCTTGAAATATAATACACAAATAATGTAATATAATAAATGATTATATAAGAAAAACTAGCGAGCGACGTTGTCCTGTACACACATCTTACAAAAAAAAAATCTAATAATGTAAACTCGATTACACTTGAACACACAAAAATTTCATCATAATCTGTCCAGCCGTTTAAGAGTTTAATAACGAACACGTGCACAGAAGATTTATATATACCAGCTGTTTATTTGCGGTATAGATAAATAACCTAGATACTGACTGCAGCGCCATCTGCCGGGGTGATTTGTAAATATTAACCATCCAGGGCGCCTTCCAAACGCTTTTCCGATTCCGATTCCAAAAATAAAAATCATTCAAATCGGTCCAGCCGTTTAAGCCGTTTCAGTAACATACACACATACTGTAGAATTATAAATATATGATAACTTTGTGTAAATATTATTATTACGGCTGATGTCTATTGTCAGCAATTGCAAACCATGATGGAAAAGCTAGCGGCTAAACAACCTAGGCTGGTCAATCGCTCCACGCCACTGCTACTTCACGACAACGCTAGACCACACACTGCACAACAGTCGGCTACCAAATTAGAAGAGCTTCAATTGGAATGTCTAAGACATCCTCCGTACTCCCCGGACCTTGCTCCAACAGATTACCATTTTATTCGAAATTTGGACAACTTCTTGCAAGGGAAAAAATTTAACTCTGATGGGGCAGTCCAAATCACCTTCACAGATTTTATTGATTCCCGTCCGACTGTTTTTTTTAGTAAAGGGAACTACCTATGAGATGGCAAAAGTGCATAGAAAACAATGGTTCATACTTTGATTAATTAAATATATTATATTTAAAAATATTCGACTTTTTGTTCCTCCCATACAAAACGCCAATTTCATATATGTATATGTAAGGACCTAATATTAAGAAACAAAAAATAATGCGTAATTTTAACTGCAACTGCAAATTTAATGCTTATCAAATTGTGTATAAAATAATATATGTATTTTCATTATAGTTAATGAAAATATGAATAACCACAACATTCGCCCACAAAATATTAAACATTCGTCAAAAATTATCGGAGCGATTATACCCCTTTCATTACAATATTTACAGCAGAGCAATTTTTAATCAAATTAATTTCTGTTTAAATAAATAACCAATATGTTGATTACAATATATACATTTACTATTAATTTAATATACACTCGCGAGCAAGCAAATCGACTCAAGCGTTATATCTGCATTCAAACATTGTTTTAAGTGAAAGTATACAACATTTTAATAAAAATAATATGTCATTTGAAAGCTTAAAACTTCAGCTTTTATGTGATGACATCATTATTAATATCCATCTATACATTTTTTTATTATTGATGTCTGAACTTAAATGGGGGAAAAATGTGATTTTGGGTAAAGGAGTTGTATTCAGAATTAACACAAATAAAACATGTTTTTTTTTCTTAAGAAGTATAAAACTTATTGGTTTAGTATTTCGTATTGTCCTCCTAGCCCTAATTACAGACTGTATTCGGTTCTTCATCGACCTTATTAAATTTTTGACGGTGTCTTGAGGAATACTTTCCCATTCCTCTAACAAAGCTGCCTTCAATTATTCAAGGCTCGAAGGAGCTGGATTCCTTGCTCGTACCCTTCGTTTGAGCTCATCCCATACATGCACGATGGGATTTATGTCTGGACTAAGCGCAGGCCAGTCCATTGTGCGCAAATCGACTTCTCGAAGAAACTGCTGAGCAAGCCGCGCTGTGTGGCATCGAGCATTGTCGTGCATAAGGATGAAGTCTTCGCCAATAAATCCTGCGTAGGGCACAACATGTTCCAGGAGAATATTTGTAATGTACCCATCAGCTGTCAGTCCTGCTCCTCGGCCTCCTCCAGGCATGAAAACGAGCTAGGTTGTACCCTCCAACGAGATACCCGCCCACATCATGCAAGAACCGCCATAGGTTGCCATAGGCAACGGTTTCTGCGAAACAGCCTTGGGAAAATCGCTCTCCCGGACGCCTGTAGACCCAGCCTCTCTTGTCACTGCCATAACGACACATTCTACACTTGTCAGTCAACAGGACGACCGCCATTGCCCAATGCTCCAGTTAAGATGCTCTCGAGCAAACTGTAGCCGAGCTTTCCGGTGGCCTGCAGTCAAGTTGGGGCCCGTTGCAGGCCTTTTTGGAGTCAGGTTGGCTTCCATCAGACGTCTTCTTACTGTCCACTCGCTGACAGCTATTCCTCGAACACGTCTCAGCTCGCCCTGCACGTCGACACCCGTAAGGTGCTGATTTCGCAGGGAGGTTGAAACAATGAAACGGTCGTCTCATTCAGAAGTACAACCGTGGCGACTGGTTGTTGGTCTCCGAGTGAATGTTTCAGTCTCTTGATATTGTCTGTATACTCGGGATACAGCAGACTGACTCAAGTAAAGCTGGGAAGTGACTACTCGCTGACTGAGTCCTTGTTCCAATAAGGCAACAACTTGAGCGGCTTCTTGAGGTGTGGTATCCATGGTTTCTTAAAAACAATGAATGCAGGTTGCTGAGATATGTATCGGTCAACTGTTTATAAGCGACTGATAAGGGTGGAAAGGTAACGGGGGTTTTTATAGGGGTAGAGGGTAGCGCAACTGGCTGGTAGCGTAGTGAGTAATTTGTCCCATACGCCCTAATTGCGCAAATTAACATTTTGGTACTTCTTTTATTTAATGATGTTGATATTTTTTTTAAAGCTTAGGTTTCAAGCTTTCAAATGACATATTATATTTATTTAAATGTTGTATACTTTTATTTAGAACCATGTTTGAATCTAGAGGTAGCGCTTGAGTCGATTTAGTTGCTCGCGAGTGTATTATTCGACGTATAAAACTCGGACGGATTTTCAATTCGATGTAGATTTCGGCTGAGAGATTTCATTCTGTATTGCAATTTGAATACGCTGTGGGAAAAATCGCCACATTTGGATCTTCGGTACTGTTTTTAGTCGTCTTTTTTAATGTATAACTACGACCCACCCGGGCATGGGTAACCGTGACAGTTCTTATGAAACGCATTTAGTCAGAGCTACCACGAAAAAGTTTTCACTCGATAGTTTGAGGATACTTCCTACAACTTTACAAACATTTATAATACATATAAGTAATGATTTAAAATAAAATATTGTATCTACATTCACTTCCAAGTGCAAATCAAATCGCAAGTGAATGGTAAATAGTAAAATTAGAAGCATTTCATATATAAATTTGGTTTTTTTGACTTTCACAAGTGTACATTGTTTTACCTATATAAATAAATGATTTTGACTTTGACTTTTATCACTGGTAACAACTGCTGCTTGGGGAAAATAATATATATAATATAATAATCACCGACATATCGAAACTTAGCCAGAGTTATTACTTCCGTATGTCACAAAACTGCCCTACGACTTCAGATGCCTCACGATATGTTCCTCCAACGTGTTATCAGTGGTCAATATTTTTTTTTAAATCACGCGAAATCTAAGGCCAAAAGAAATACTGCGCTTTATCACTATACCGTGCCACATTAATGTTTCTTAAAATTATTTTGTCACCTAACGGACTCTAGTACTGTCGTCTAGAAAAACGCAGTCTTGTCTGGATAGGAATTACTATTGCACTTTTTTATAAGATTAAGAGTCTTGTACACTCTTAACTTGGATTAAGGTGCAGGTGTGTTAATATTGAAATAGAAAAGAGGTTTTTTCATCAAATTTAAATTTAACAAGAGATATAAAAAATAAAAAGTAGAATCTAATTACCCAAAAAAAACAGTGGCGCTACAACCATCTTGGCCTCAGATATCTGCTTCGTGATATTGTTTTCTCTGTCAAGCAAGTAAGTGATCAGCCTTTTGTGGTTATGCCATGTTTTCTTTTACCGTACGAATATTAAATACGCACATAGAAATAAAAGCCGTGGTTCGGTCCTTAGGCATGATAATCGCACGCGCAGGCCAACATTTATAATAATGTTTACCACAATGTTGGGTAATATTTTATATAGTTTGAATTTTCAAACCCAATGCAGTTTGAGGCATTTGCGTCTGTGTAATTTATTTTGATTTGAAGATGAACGACCAAAGTAGACGACATTATAAAAAAAATAATACAATTAAACATGACGAATAATAGGAGATTGAAATAGACAAAAATAATCACAGAATGGCAACCACGCGATGGAAAAAGGAAAATAGGAAGGACAGAGCAAGAGATGGGCAGACGATATAAAGAGAATAGGAGGCACAACTTGGACAGAAAGAGCTAACATCAGAAAATAATGGAAGCAGGCCTCTTCCAAATCACACGCTGATTATTATGTAACTTAAATAAGTTTTATATTATACTGGGTGTCAGAAAGAAAGGCTTAATAATAATAATAATAATTGATTTTAAGATAAATAGTGTCGAAACGATTTCTGTGTTCGTGCGACCCTAAACAAATATTATCGCCAAGTTCGCACTACCCCATGCCTCATTTATGGGGCTACAAATAATAACAAAATGTATTTTGATAACATTAATATTTTCTGTAACACGTGTTTTCGTTTTAAAGAGACGTCAAGAAATTAATACTTTATTCATCTGGTAACTTACGCAGACAATGGAAAGTGTCAATGGCAGATATGAAACAAACAGCGAAGGGTTCAAGGTTCGTTCTAATAAATCCGAATAATATTGTAGATAATATATGTATTACCTAAAGAAATTTAAGTTCTAAGGTCGATTTCATTTAAGTTTAATCTAATTCACTGACGTAGTCTGAATACTTATCTGAATCGTGTACTAAATTCTTTTTTAATTTAATTAATTAAATAAAGTTATAAATTTAACAACTAGTGTGAATCACAGCTTGAATCCTTTTCTTCTTTCTTGCAAAATAATTGATATATTATCGAATTTAAACTAAAGTTTTTTAACAACTTTTGAAATCTGTATAGCAATCGTACAGAATATTCTTTGAATTAATTTTACATGATTCAATTCAACCCACTTATGAAATGATGTCCGATTTTTCAACGGCAACTAAAACGACGTAATTTACCATTCGCCTCACTTTGCGATTTTTTCTGCATCACGTTACACATATATTCTTGACACCGACATCAAAATTTCTGCCTTTTCTTCTTAAAAAGGAAATACAACAGAAAGAAAAGCTCTATTACACATAATTTTTTTTAAAGGGAATCCTTTTTATAATTTTAAAAAGGACCCCCACTAAGATTCCCTGTCTCGTGGACTAGTCAGATAATGAAACTACTGTGGCACAATAGGAATACTTTCCATTTCATCACAGAACAGGTTGAGAAAAATTAGAAAAAAGAAGAGAATATTATCTACCTGTAGATCAGCCGAACAGTCCTCCACAGCCTTATCCTTGTGCGTGTCAGAGATCTCTAGCGCCCAATACATTTGCACGTACTTGAACACAAGCATGCCGCCGCCCAACTCCGCCCAAGTCTTGAGTATGGCTTTGCGAACATCCCCTCGACCTGAAATATATTATGTTTTAATTTTTACGTTTAAAAGATCATATAAAACCTCAACCAACGTTACTGCACTGTTTTAAAAGTATGTTTGTCTCTGTTAAATTGTCTGCGCTGTGATACAATTTGGCAGATTGATTTATACATGAATACTAGAATGAGATTCAGAAATTAGACTTAGCGTGATCTGACCACCGTCAAAATCTCTGAATATCATCTTGAGATATAGTTACTATACTATTAAGTTACATAATTCCCGTTTTTTCTTTTAAATAAATTTAACTACCATTTTAGTTGGACAACTTGAAAAAATATAAGCTTTCCAGGATTTTATGTAGAAAATTTAAGGATCATTTTCATAATACACGGTTTGTGCATAACTTTTACGCAGCGAAAGCTCTCAAAAGAATTATTTTTTTTCATTCATTCGCGCTCCGCTCTTATTATACCATGATATTATATGGCCTTATTCAGAAATGTACTATGTAAAATAAAAAGGACTTTTTATTATTCGAGCCATTAATCCAGAGTGATCTTAACCAAACAAACAAATTTTATATCTTATTGCTACATATTATATATAATCTACGTATAATATAGGTACAATTAAATATTCCACGATTTTTATGCAGAAGTAAAACAATACAAAACAAAAGATGAATCTAAATTAACACAATATTGTAATCCAGGATTAATTTAATAACATTTCTTATAAAATGTAAAGAGAAGTACATCAAGTATTTGGACACAAAACACATAATTTAGCTTTAGTCAAAGCCTCCAAAATGTTTTCTAATAAGTAGTGTTAATTAATTATAACCTTTAAAATTAATTCAAATACAAATCATTATTATACTCGATTTGGTGGACATAATAGTTCTGTACAGTAATTAATAATTATAAAATTGATATAGGCATAGACGTAACATTTAATACTAACGAAGCACACACACAGAACTACACATTTTTTAAAGGAATAAGGTACATTTGAAATGTGTGTGTGTTGTGGTTGTAACTGGCCCTGGCTCAGCATTATGCTGTGGAGCAGACGTGTTCCACGGCGCTGGTCATTCTGCCAGAGACCACAACAGTTAGTTTGCGACTAAGATGCATAAAAAATAAGAATGTAATAATAATAGTAGAAAAAATAACGATAGTAAAAATTTATAGTAAAAGTAAGCAAGTCTTGGAAGATATGTGTGTAAAGGTATATAGTAAATACAAAATAAGAATAATATTTGTAAAGAAATAGATAAATAAATATTTTTGGGCTGATTAAAAACTAGATTTCGTGGGATTTTTGTTGAGTAATTAGAACCCGTCCGTCGTAGAAAACGTCCGGTATTAGGATTCCATTGCAAGAATTGAATTTATTATCACGAAAGTTTCATTAAATTTTATAAAAAAGTATATGTAGAAGTTGCAATTATATTGATATATTTTGATTTTAATATAAAAAATAATAAGTGAGTTAATTTTTTCATATATAAAGTAATTTTTCTAGAAGTGGTTTTAATTTTATTTTACATTTTTAAAATACTACTAGGACTTCCCCCTACTTTATAACTGCTACGAAAATACCTCAACAGAAATACATACCTTCAATAACATCTTCAATGTGTGTATAGGGGCAGGCTGTTGCGTCTCCCCAGTTCAGAGACCACCAGATTGTGAGTGCGAAAAGGTAAACCGCGTATGTGGCTACACCAAAGTTGTCAGCAACTGAAAAACATTTACGATATTATAAATGAATGAGATTGATTTATGGGATATTACAAGGACTTCAAGGATTGGTGGTAAGAGACAGCGTTTTGTCAAAAAATTTAAATAATTAAATTAGTATCTGAAAATAGTAATTCTTATAAGTCAAGATTGTGTGTTTCATTTATATCTTTTAGTTTTTAAGCAGAATTTAAGTTCCAAATAATTGTATGGTTGAAAAACGATATTGCTGATTTGACAAAAAGAAACTTTAGGACCTAAAGTTGTGGTGGGCAACTTTTTTAATGGCGTGCCACAAAGTTTAAGTTATTCTAGAGGATCAGAATTATAGAAAAATATGCTAATATATAAAATTCTCATGTCACAATGTTCGATTCCATACTCCTCCGAAACAGCTCGACCGATTCTTATGAATTTTTTTATGCACATTCAGTAAGTCTGAGAATCGGCTACTATCTATCTTTCAAACCCCTAAGTGATAAGGGGTGTCCACCCCAAAATTTTTTTTATTAATTGACAATATATTTTTGTTTTAATTTTTTTTATGATACAACATACAAAAATACATACAACCCTTAATTTTCACCCCTCTGCGATCAACCCCTATTTTTTTATAGCAGATAGTTTATTTATTGAACTAAAATAATGTTTCTTAGAAATAATATGGTAAAACAACGATTGTCGGGTCAGATAGTAATATTATAAAAACATTACAAGTAGAATTTACTTTTTCTTCTCGTCGTCAAAACGTAATTATAACGGGCCATATACTATCCATGTTGATGGACCCTCGGCGGGCCGGATTAAATATGTGTATAAGGGATATTTTTTTTGGTACTCATTAGTTTATAGTTATCACAACAGATGTCAAATTTGCTTAGTTTTAAATACACCGGTAAAATGTATAAAAATTTATGTGATTTTTATTGATACACTTTTAAAAGTAGTTTTTAAATCTTTGCCACTGTTCTGCTGATTTGTAATTAATTAATTTAATAATGGCCATCTTCTTAGATTCGTGAAAATTCATGCAATTTGTATTTTTTGTCAAGATTTAAAAATTTGACAATATTAAAGTACATAGTGATCGCAGACAATTATTAAACAACAATAAATAAAAAGTCCGTAAATTTAGTATGTTAACAACTGAGTAGTTTAAAAAGTATTAAGTTAAGTTAGTGTAGTATTTAATTCTCGTTAAATTTCAATTAGTATTTAGTGTAATATGTACATTAACTTAATTATTAGTTCTAAACTTTTGTCTTTAAGGTCCTTATTGCAATAAGAACTATTATTATGAAGGAATATTATTTAATTAGCCAAAATTGTTTTATTTAAAATATAATTTCTGAAAGGAATTGTCACAATATGAATCCCACAATTCAAGCAATAAGCTTAAAGTAAAGACCGTCAAATCTTTGGAATTTGACATTTAATACCTCTTGACTTAGGAATAAAAATATTACTGATTGTGTAAGAATTTTATATTTCAGATATTCTTGTTCCTTTTTAATAATGGTGGTAAATCATATAGTAATTAGTTACTCCACAAAGCACAAGAATTTACAAAATATTCACTTAAATTAGCGTTATAATGAAGCACGTTCTAATTAATCCCATATAATGTAAAATTCGCAAAGTGCACGCTATGTGGGGATTATTGGGGCGCGTTATTGTGCATAATGTAGAGGAAAGCGGCTAAATCGCATGTAGATTAAACACGTGTAGTTTCAGAGAAATTTGTAATAACAGCCGAATAACATCCATTTGACTAGTTCAGTGTACTTAAATAATAACGGCAATACTTCTACGTTGACAGAAAATATTGTGAGGATAACGACATGTCTACAACCCAAAAATCGAGGTCTTTCAAAACAGAGCGCTAATCACCCACTCATATATTTCATATAATACATTATTTGAAGGCTTTTTAACAGGCTTTTTAAACTATCTTTAAGTCAGACTTGACTCTTTTATCTATTCAAATAAAATGCTTTTTATAAAAGAATTATTGAAGTACTTAGATACGTTTTAAAAAATATCCTACACGCGTTAGAAGTTATACTTCTTTGCCGTAAACAAGATAAAAATATTTTTAAAATTATTATCTTTTGCCTTATTCTACGTTTGTAGAAAACACGACACTAACAATAGAAAAATGGTATTATAACATTGAAAGTTATAATACCTTTTTTATATATATATAACGCATTAGTTTATTTGAATATCATAAAAAAATATTTCTACTTAATTAAAGCACATTTTTTATTTTAAAATGTTGACTATGCTAACTTCAGGGTGTCGGTTTTATTTGACGGTGTGCACGCGCATCGTAAAAAATTACTCTCATCATTTCCTAACGCGCCAATAGAGGTATAACTTCAAAAATATTCTCGGCACTAGTTATTTGTTATTTTTATTTGCAAAGGTAAACATGTGCGGAAAGACCTCACGAAGTATGTGTATACAAAAATCAAGTATAAATAGTAATAAACAAATTTGTAAAGAAGAGATCTTTTTAAAACTTTTTATTAATTTGGCGAATACTGAAATGATCCTAATCCTTGAGATTGATTTTCTCCAGTTCAAACAATTGACTTAGCGATTAAAAAGAGTGGCGGAAAGTTTCTTGCCTACTCTACGCCCTTGAGTTGCGAACTGGTAGTAAATGTAAATTTACAATTAATTTAACTTCTTTTTTGACGTTCATAAGTGTACTTGTTTACCTATATGAATAAAGATATTTTGAGTTTAAGTTTGAGTTTGATCTAGTGTTTTCCTCGCGGCTACGTAAGGTACTTACCGACTATCAACTCAAAGCAACAGCCACATAATTCAGCTGCTGCTATTGCCTCTTCAAAGAGTAATCTGACGAAAGGATCTTTCACTATATTCTGCACCAGACGTCGAGCGCAATGCGCTAGTATCGATGTCAGTAGGATAAAGAGTGTTGATACCACTAGAGGCGCGAATGTATCTCTATTTACCTGAAAATAAATAATTTATTTATTAAAGTTCACCACATCATAGGAGTGTAGGCCTAGGCCTAGGCCTAGGAGTAGCATGCGACTCTCATCCTTAAGGTCGTAGGTTCGACCCCTGGCTATGCACCAATGGACTTTCTTTCTATTTGCGCATTTTTCATTCGCTCGAACGGTGATGGAAAACATCGTGAAAGAACCGGCTTGCCTTAGACGCAATCGACTGTGTGTGTCAGGCTCAGGAGGCTTATCACCTACTTGCCTGACAGAAATCTGAGGCCCAGACTTAAAAAGGTTGTAGCGCCACTCATTTTTTTTATAAGAACGTTACACCGGCTAAAGATCTCAGATTGTACAGAAATCATTGTGAATTTCCTAAGTCGATGATGATGGGGTACCCTATACGGTACCGATAAGGAAATCCTGCAAAGCCCCGAGTGAATGATATTTGAATACTTTGGATGAATGGATCGCACATAAGGGATTCCATATAATGCTAACGTATTCAATATGACTGCGAACTAGAGCGTTATACAAAATTGTTTTAGTTATACTGCCGAAATCTCTGAAATGGAATATTTATCTGTAAGAAGAAATCCGAGCATTCGTGCGGGTGTGGTGACAGTTTAAATTCTACTGGATTTAATAAAACACTATTTTGACCGGATTGAAGTTATGTATTATTATAAATTTACAACTATTTAACATAATTTTAAATTTATCCGACGTTTCGCGTGCTTTACAGCGTGCGTGGTCACGGTGACTCGTCGAAACGTCGGATAAATTTAAAATTATGTTAAATAGTTGTAAATTTATAATAATACATAACTTCAATCCGGTCAAAATAGTGTTTTATTAAATGAATAAAAGTTATGTTAATCAAAGACAATACTATTCTACTGGATTGTTACTGGTTTCAATTTCTTAATAACGGCTCGTAGTTTTTTATTTTTAATACTTTTTAACATTTGTATACTCAATATATCCATACAAGGCCACCGAACCTTATTCGCTGTTCCATTTTTTTTAATACAGAAATTTATGTGACGATGTAACACAATATGGTCAATAAGCTAATTGATGATGAACAAAATTAAAATGTTTAGATTTATGTATTATACAATTTTGTGATGTTATTTATTTATTTATTTAGGAAACAAAACAGATACATCATCAATAAAAAATTGTTAAAAAATAAAACATAAAATAAACACATTGGATGTATCCACAAAAAGTTTCACTGTTAAAAATATGATACAGAGCAAGGCTTGGTAGCACAAAATTTATAAAGCCGGAAAAAGACAAACATACTTGTAGCTATAATAAAGAAGAAATATACAAGGATTAGGACATTAATAGTTGTTTTAAATTATTCTTAAATTAAGCAGTAGAGGAGTGCGATAATGCGATGTTGATAAGATATTTATCTTAAATAATAAAATATTTTTTTATGGCAAGTGAAGTCAAATCATTTATTTCAATTAGACCACCTAAAATGGCACTTTTTAACGTCAAATAAAATAAAAGATGATTCTAGTTGCCACTTCCAAAAGGTAGTTTCGTGTGGAGAAGAATGGGCAAGAAACTCCACAGTTACTCTTTTAAAATAGGTTTACAATATTTTGTATTCATTTGTTAAATAATTATATGTGAAGACAATGTACTCTTAGAATAAAACTACTATACTAAAAAAAGTTAGTATATAATATGTTCCTCACATATTTACAAATATCGAAACCGTAGAATATTATACATTAATGCTAAAAATAAAAAACAAAATAAAATAGTGTGTGAGATAAAAATAAAATAATTACATTTTGTAGTATTATAAAATTAAAATAATAAAAAATCAGCAACCAATTTGATTTTATCCAGGCTCTATGATTGTCCTATGGAGCAGGTTTAGTTAACTGCTATTGAAGTATTTGTGATTGAAGCTTTAACGTGCGATTCTCTACGATGTTATAATTATTATTAGTCTATAGTATTGTCTTTGATTGACATAACCTTTACACATTTAAAGAAAAAACTTTTTAACCTTAAAGAAAAAAAAACAATCCGCGAAAATAGAGGACACCGTGAGCCATTTTTGCCTAAACCCTCCATCTTTTAGTCGATACCAACTCCGGGGAAATAAATACAGATAATGCAACTTTCTCTACAGCTGTGATACTTTTTGACATCCAACACCTTTTGTCTTCAGTCACCGTGACCACGCACGCTGTAAAGGACGCGAAACGTCGGATAAATATAAAATTATGTTAAATAGTTGTAAATTTATAATAATACATAACTTTAATCCGGTTTAAAAGTTTTTTCTTTATATTATTAGTCTGCTATATCATGTAATGAACTTCAGAGTTCTACAGAAACTGTATTTCCTTTTAAACGCTTTAAATACTTTATCAACAAAAACACTTAAAAAGTCACCCCTGGGCCTAATTTTACGATGTCAGAACTCAAACTGAAGTGAATCAACAAGCGCTGAAAGCTACTTCGTTACAAATTATTCAAGACTACTTAAAGCTTTAATAAAGCTTTCAAATGTTGGCATTGTCCCGAGAGCTCTCGGCTAACTCAATTCAACCGAATTTTCCAATTAGATACGCCTAAATACGTGAGTATTGTAATCATTCCAATTTGATTTCATTATTTTGTTTCTTACTGCTATTTTAATTCTCAATGGGGCAAATTTCCGCGTCTATTCTGTCGATTTTTAATACAAATTTAATAACACTCAACCGTCTTACACTAGAATTATTGTACCTTAGTTTTCTGTTTATTTTTCTTGGTATCTCGTGATTCTATTCTTAGTTTTTCAATTTACGGTCACTTTTATATATGTTATGTGTCATTCTTAAATAAATAAATAGCCAACTAGTTACCATGTGAACTGCAAAGGCCGCAAAAAGGTCTTTGAATTTTTACGTAATTGTAAAAGTGTTGTAATAAATAAGGTGGATAAAACATAAGAATATTCGTCCAAACCAACACTATTCTATATTATTTTACAGACAAAAACATCATATCTTTTTTGTCAGGTTTTCATTTGAAAGTCAAGAGGAGCAAGAAAGTGTTAAACTGGTGACCAATGTACAATAAAGGCAAAAGAGGAAGACAATTTAGAAGTTGGATAGACCAGATTAAGAACAGCAGACAGTAGTTCAGTGCAGACGTGGTTTAGAGGAGGCCTTTGCCTAAAAAGGGCACACATATATTTAAAAAGATTAAGATGATAGAAATATAATTGTGTTTATGTGTAAATTTATATAAAATAAAAGGCATAATATTTATTTTAAATAATATGTTTTCCCAATCCTTTTTAAATTTAAGGAAATAGTTTCAGTCGATTCTATGTTTTGTGTTTAAAAAATAGGTTTTTTCAAATAATTTCAGATACATTTTTGGCATAAGCAATTGCTGTCCGTCTATAACGGCACTTGTTCATATCGTTGGAGCTGTAAGTTCAATCAAGAATATACGTATTTATGGAATTTGAATGACGATATCACTGGCCTATTTGCTTAGGGCATTCTCTGTATATCTAATCTACGGCCTGGTATTTGTGCTACGGCGTAGCACTACGCGAAGCATAACGTCATTATTAAACACAAAATACTACGAGTATAACCTCAATTAGTTAAATGACGTAACGTTTTTCATTTGAAAATGACAGTTTAACGTCATTTGTGTACGATACACAAAATTAAGTATATTTTACTAAACAAAAAAGTAATTAAAAATTGTAATCAACTTTCTCAACCATAAAGAAATATATGTGTAGATTTTAAATCAATCTCAACAAAACTACGGATCCAATTCATGAAACTTATATTGTTCCCTAAGTTGGAAAATACGCGATTTTTATAAAAAGCCCATCCCTCGCTAAAACTTTTACATTTCGAGAAATGTGTGGGAAAAGAAGAAAATTAGATCAATATACTGAAACATAACCCAATTCCAACAATCAAATACAAACCTCCTTTACCAGCTATTAAGTAACAGATTTCAAAGTCTAATAAAAAATATTTCCATATTTCCATATTTTTATTTATTACCTCTACTTTATTCAAGCATCTTCTCAGTTTCTTTCAGGCCTGGGGTTTGTCATAAAACAAAACACTTCTCACCACACATTCGTGCATTAAATTTAGACAATAATTAGTCACGCTACGAAAGAGCCAACTTATATATATATAGATGTTGGGCGTACCTCACAATAACACCAGACCCACACTACAGCAATTACCTATTACCATTAAAATATGCTTCAAAAATATAGCTAGCTTGCTTAATAATATATGACCTATTCACAGAGTCGTCCTAAGACGTACTAATCTTAGTATGTCGTGCATTCTATGAGTTATAATCAAATTATGACGAGAGTTATGTAATGTTGCATAACTGTTAGCAATCATCGCACACTTGAAGCTAAAATAAGCCCTTAAGTTTTTCCTCACACTTAATTCCGTAATGTCCAACAATTATCTTTGTAGTAAGCATACCATCTGTTACTTCCAAAGCCTGTCCTATGCGTATCCTTAATAATTCGATGCAGTGCAAGTGATTTCTAAAATCGGGTCATATTTCTTTGGGATAAGCATTCTACCTGTACGTTCCGAAGCCTGTGCTATATGATATATATGCGTATTCTTAATAACTATTAGAAATTGTGTACAAATTATTATTATTTATATTAGTTTTATTCTAGTATGTCTGTGTAATGTCATATGTTTCGTAGTTATAGCGTAATCAGTATTGTCCTGCAACTAAACTTATAATTTTTCTAGAGTTATGCAGCATTAGCTAAGTTACATATATATATATATATATATATATATATATATATATTTTAGTATGTAATTAAAAGCGTAAACCAAATGTTAGCAATCATCGCACAGTTGAAGTCAAAAACGATCCCTTTAGTTTTTACCACACTCATAAATTGTAATATAACATTCTTGTTTCCGATAATGTCGTAACGGTCGACTACACTCACCTATTTCTATGTTAATTATAAGCTCCTGTATTAAACGATTAAAGCCATTCGATACCCAGCTTCAAACAAAGAGTTTCATTTAACATATATTTGAACAACAACCGCCACCGAACATAACTCGCGTTTGAAAAACGTATTTTGTCATATAACATTTTTAAGAAAGGACTCTCTTGTTCCTTTCTGACAATTTGAGCTTACGCTGTGATAAAAAAAAATTGTGCGTGTACTAGGTGTACACACGTAAGAAGTGAAACTTCTTTATTATCTTATTTTTGGAAAAATTATCTACTATATGCAACTATACAGAAATTCGTTAAATTAGATAAAGTTTGACAAAAGGCTTTTATTATCATAGACATGAATACAAATATTTCATTGTACCTTATTACTACGAAGATTACTATAGAATTTCATTAATTGTAATAGAATTATTACTATCATTGAAAAACGTGACGATTTGCTACAAAATTTCTCCCATACGTCGATAAAGAAGTTTCATTCCAACGCCGATAAAGAAGTTTGACTTCAAAAAGCAACATGGCGCGTAACGAAAAAATGTTACACTAAATTTTTTTTCCAACCTCGATAAAGAAGTTTCACTTCAAAAAAAGATTAAATTGTAAGGGTTGATAAGAGAGTTTAACTGCAAGATAATCTCATATATAATTCTGATATTTAACTCAATAATAAAGACTGTATTCAATGATTTCTTATGGCTCTAGAACTCAAAGCACATCGGCAGTAAAATAATTTTATGATAATAAAATTAGAATAATGTTAACACCTTGGCTGAGCTCCAATAACAATTCTTGCTTATACGATAAAGAAAAACATGAAGCCAACACGTCCAAGACCGATAAAAAACGGCCTATGTCAAGTACAGGTGACCTATTTGCCCATAAAGAAAATTTATCAAAAAATGTACAGAATTTTATAAACACCGTCAATGTTATTATGCTATATTATTTAACGATAATAATATATTCTTTCATGAAATACTTCTCTGAAATTGTATAGAAAAT